CCGAGCCTCACCGTCGACGCCGCCGCGTTCACCATCCCGTGAGCCGTCGCGTCCGCCATCCGCCCGGCCAAATCCACCGTCGGGGCCCGCTTCTCCCCGCGCGCCGGTGAGTACCACCATTGCCGCCGCCTTCGGCCATGGTTTCCGCCCGTCGTGGACAACCCCTCTCCCTCTAATCCTTCCCATTTTGATCCCTAGGAGGTCCCGGAGATCGTCCGCCCGTCACCGTCGTCCTCCCGTCGCTCGTCGTCGTCGTTCGCCGTCGTCTCCACTCGCGCCGGCCAACCTCGGTGAAAAACTCCCCCTCCCCCCCTCTTTCCCTCTCTCCCGTGTGCGCCGCCGTCCTCCGCGCGCGCACCGTCGTCTTCGGCCGCCGCCGCCGCTTTTTGCGCCGTCTGCCGTCGCCGTCCGCGCCACCGGTTGCCGTCGCCAGCGACCGCGCGTGCCGCCGTCGCTCGCCACGCTTGGCCTGCCGGCTTTGAAGCCGAGCCGAGCCACCAGACGCGCCCCTCCCGCCTTGTGCCACTGCCAGTGGGGCCCACATGCCGGCGCCCCTCCCTCTCTCTCTTGAGCCGCTGACTCATGGGGCCCGCATGCCGGCGCCTCCCCTTCCTTGCTGACGTCAGCCCTGGGGCAATATTGCGCAATAAATACATTAAGGCTTTTCTTTAATAGTAAAAACACAAAGAATCTTCTAAAAATCATAACTAATTCATCCGAGCTCCGTTTAAGCCCATTCAAGTCTCAGTAAATTCATAAAAATGTATAGAATCCATTAAAAATGGTTTTGTTTCCTGTTTCAGTAGTCTTATAGCATGTTTTGCTTGTGTGCTTTGTTTGTCGCGTAGATTTCGCCCGTTTCGTCGATTCGTGGTTTCTCGAAGACGTTGCTGTGGTTCCATCAGTGCGAGAGCAAGGCAAGTCATACATTGCAATTGATCATATTGTACCCAATTTACAAATGTCCCGCATTTCTATTAAATATTGCACTGTTTTACAATATCATGTGGGATGGGTCCTATTACTCAGCTATATGTTGTTTCCCTTACGCCATTGATAACTTGGGTATCAAAATGACTAGATGTTGGTTTAGGAGATGCTTAGCCATGCTTAGTTCAACTAATGCACAAAAGGGGATCACACTAAAGCATAGACTTTGATTATTGGCAATAGCTTTGGATTAGTGCCACCGCAATGGTGTTGGTTAATTAAAGTACACTACATGGTGGGCTGTGGGTGCATGGTTTTGCTGGTCGCACCCATGGCAGTTAAGGACCGGTTCGCGGGATGCCCTGGAAGAACTTATCGTACTTACCACAAGCCAGCGTGGGCAACGGCTGGGCTTGTAGTGTAGCTTTTCTCTAGCCGACGTACCCAGGCGAGGGTGGGCGTGATGGAGTTGGGTCGGCCGGGGTGTCCGGTTGATCGGCTTCCGGATTCACCGCGGCACCAAAGGGGGGGCTGCCCGTTGCCTGCTGGGGACGGGGGCGAACCCTAAGGTGTGGTGCGATCGGTTAGAGAGGGTTATGCGAAGGGTCCTGTCACAGCCTCTTTCCGGTATGTCGTGGTGGCATGTCGGCGCACGGGAACGTGTCGTGGGGCTGTGTCTTGTGGGTATAGTTGTACACCTCTGATCAGAGTAAAACTATTCGAATAGCCGTGCCCGCGGTTATGGGCGGTCGACCAGATTCACCGTAATTAGTCTCACCCCTAGTTTAGCTTAATGAACTGGTGTAGTTCAGGTGGTTGGTTGGGCCTGTTGCAATGTGGCGTAGCGTTGGACAGTGACTGGTTAATATTGCTTAATTACTACAACTGTTTTTACTGTTTTCAACTACTGGTTTTAAATGCCTGCTCTATGCAAATGAACCCCGTAGCCTCTTTTGGTTATATCCTGCATCATACCTCCTCATCCGGTATGACTTGCTGAGTACAGTGGGTAGTACTCAGTCTTGCTCTTTTCCCCCACACCAGAGTTGAAGTTCTTCTCAGTTGAAGATGTCTCGAAGAGGTTGGTTTCGTCGCTGCCGTCAAGGATGCCTGTGGAATGGAGTCGCCCGCTGCAGGAGTCAAGTCTTCAGGCTTAGCTCGCTTTTACCTTTTTCGCTGCATTTGTAATCTTTCATATTTTTGTAAGACGTGGATCTGTATGTCAACAATTGTCGTTTGTGTACCCTGGCTGGTCCTGGACAGGGGTTTAATACACATTCAGCTTAGAAATTCTGGTTCGTGAATTTCTGGGCGTGACAATAAGCCAAATCATATTCAATCAAAGCATATGCCCACTTGCCAATTCTCCCACTTAGAATTGGCCTTTGCATCATATGTTTAATAACATCGGCTTGCCAATTCTCCCACTTAGAATTGGCCTTTGCATCATATGTTTAATAACATCGGCTTGACAAGCAACTATGCATCTACTAGATAACAAGTAATGCCGCAATTTGGTACAAGCATAGTAAAGGCATAAACAAAGTCTCTCTATGAAGACATACCTCGTTTCAGCATCCAAAAGACGGCGGGTCAAATATGTAATGATATACTCCTTGCCATCTTCCTCTTGTGTCAAAACGGCACCAATGACCTTGTCTTCGGAGGCAATATCTAACCGAAACGGCATTCCGGCTTTAGGCGCTCGCACCACGGGTGGAGTATACAAATACTACTTCAACCCCTCAAACGCCTCTTGTTGTTTTGCCCCCCAAGTAAAATCGGCTTCTTTTTTCAAGCGAAGTATAGGAACAAAAGCATCGATTTTTACCCGCTAGGTTAGAAATAAATCTACTCAAATAATTCACCATACCTAACAACTTTTGAACTTCTTTCTTGCATGTCGGTGCTTTGAAATCACGAATCTTTTCTATCTTCTTAGGATCAATCTCAACTCCTCTTTCATGCACCATAAACCCTAAGAACTTCCCCACCGACACACCAAAAGCACACTTGAGTGGATTCATCTTCAAACCATACCGGCGCATCCTCTCAAAAGCTAACCTCAAATCGGCTATATGTCCCTCCATACCATCTGATTTGACAACAATATCATCAACATAGATTTCTAAGATAATACCTAGCAAATCATGGAAGATCAAATTCATTGTCCTTTGATATGTTGCACCGGCGTTCTTCAATCCAAAAGTCATGACAACCCACTGAAATAAACCAATAAATCCCGGGCACCTAAACGCCGTCTTGTACATATCCTCCTCCGCCATAAAGATTTGATTGTAGCCGGCATTACCATCCAAGAAACAAATCACTTTATGACCCGAGGCATCATTAATCATCATGTCGGCTATAGGCATAGGATATTCATCTTTTGGAGTAGCTTTATTTAAATCTCTAAAGTCTATGCAAACTCTAATCTTACCACTCCTCTTCTTCTCCACCGGGACAATACTAGATACCCACTCTGCATAACGACATAACCTAATAAACCCCGCCTTCAATAACCGATCAATCTCCTCTTTGACCCGGTCATATAGCAAAGGATTAAAACGACGAGGTAGCTATTTATAAGGCCTAAAACCCGGTTTAATTAGAAACCGATGTATAACAAGTTCACGGCTAAGATCTGGCATCTCATGATACTCTCATGCGAAGCAATCAACATACTCCTTAAGTAGCTCGATTATTTTAACCTTATAATCGGCTCTCATTTTTTTGTTTACAAAAGTCGGCCTTGGTTTAGTTCCATCACCTATGTCTACTTCCTCCAACGGATCGGCCGATGTAAACCCTTGACCAAGCTTTTCTACTTTATCAAAATCTTCAATAGTTTCACCAATATCGTTTTTTGTAGACCGATATTTTTGCACCCTCTTTTGCAACCACTCTAAATTAGCTTATTTACTCATTGCACAAAGTGATATGGCCTAGCCGTGTGTAACAACCCAAAAATTAGCCGTCTGCTAATTTTGCATCATGCTGATTCTTATGTTCTTAATAACCTTCTAAACCTAGGAAAATATAATTAGCGGGACCTCCTAAAAATGACTTGTACGAAAGCCTCTATGGTATTTAATCTCTTTTGTGTTTTTCATTTAAAAATATGTTTTGGTTAAATTGAGGTATTTCTTGATTTCGTTCAAAACCTTCTTTTGACTAAAATTCCTTTTAGTCAATTTTGCTTGAAAACCCCTTTTTATTATTTTTATGAATTGTGGTCCAAGAAACCTTCCCAATTTTGCCCTTGAACCTAAACCAAAATAATTCCAATCTCATTAGAATTATTTGTTAATCCATCCTTTGATTTTAAACCTATCCTTTGATTCTCAATCCAAATATCCAAATTCCTCCTTTTTGATCTAGCCACTAATTTAATTTCTGTGGTTTGATTTCCTTCTCGGCACAAGAATAAAATTATTACGAATATTGTGAATAATTGCTCTTGTGCTAAGAAAATAGATTATATCTTTGTCATCCAAATTTACTATTAGCCTCAAACAATTCTCTGAAACCCATGCCATATATTTTGAGGCTAAAACCCTATTTATCCTTCTCCAATTATCTTTTTCCCACCTTCCTATTTACATATTAAATTTTATTCATATATCTCTCACCCTTTCATTTGAGTGCACCAAATAAATTCCATTATATACTACTTCTAAAATATTGCACTCAAATAATTAGGAAATCTCTCTTTGAAATTATCTCCAAAATAAATTCATCTCAAAGGTTAGCCACTTAAATTTCTTCCAAATATTAATTTGGATTCAAACTCCATCCGTCAATTCCCTACACAAATTAGAAAGCCTTTCTATTCATTTGGGCCGAATTCTCCCTCTCTTCCTTCGGCCCAGACCGGCCCAATTCAGCCGAGCCGCCTTCCTCCAGGTGCGCGTGCCGTGCACGGCGCACGCCGCCGCCAACCGTCGTCGCTAAGAAATCGGCGACGTGCTTGTCTTCTCCACGTCGCCGCAGCCGTGTCTTCGTCGACCTTCTCCTCCGAACCGCCTCTCTCCACCGCCTTCGATCCCTATAAATAGACGGCAAACCTTTCCTTTTCTCCCCCACAAACCAAGCTCTCTCTCTCTTCTACCATGGCAGCCACCACCGGCTATTGCCGATCTCCCTCACCGGAGCATTGCCGGACAAACCCTCGCGCCACCGGGCTTGCCTTGATGAGGTGAACCCATTTTTCTAGTTTCCCCTCTCCCTTAGCCGTCCTATAAGCCACTATAGCCACTTCTTTTACCGGCCGGAGCAAGCTTTTGCCGCCGCCGTTCCGGCTTCATATCTCACTTCCACTGCCGACCTCTGCCGTCCCCGGATGCGCGTCGACGGGGAACATGTTATGTTGCCGACGTCGCCGCGTTTCGGCCACCGGAGGGCCGGCGCCCCGCTCGTCCTCTCTTCTCCCTCTCTCGCTGCCAACGGAAGAGGAGAAGAAAGAAGACGGGAGGAAGGAGAAGAAAAAGAAAAAGAAACACTGACAGGTGGGCCCCTGCACAGTTCACTTTCATAATTTTCCTATTTAATTCAAAACCCAATCTTTAGAAGCTCATATCTCCTAAACCGTAGATCCGAATCTAGTGAAACTTGGACCTAAATTCATCTAAATTCAAACCCTATATTTTGATACCAAATTTGCTATTTTATAATTTTATTTGAATTTATTCAAATACCGTTTGAATTTATAATTGCCTTTTCAAATATTTCCTTTTAATCCAAAATACCCTTTAGCCACTAAAAAGCCGCTGGTTGAAACTTTACGCCTTTCATGGAGACGTTTGCGGTCACCTAGGCCCCGACGTCGAACCATTGGCTGTAAAGCCCGGCAAAACTCAAACCCAAGGTCGAAGTGCTGCTCCTAGCACCCTACGCCTTGATGCGTATAATGATCGGAGCTTCACTATCCCCTCGACCTCCACAGCACGCCGCACAGTTAGCTCTCTGGCTCTGTGTGATCCTAGCCGCTCCGCCGCCACTCACGGTTGTCGGAGTAACACTTCCACCCCACTAAACCTACACAAATCTCCTATTCCTCTAGTCGTTATCCTTTTTGTTGACACCGGCTAGAAAAGATACCAAATCTAGCTGTTATACTGCCCGACTCTAGCAATGACTAGCAAACAACCAAACCCTAGCCGATGCCTTCCTAATTAAATTCCAGTCATCATCCAAATTCCATACCCACCCATCGAGCATACTCTCTGCCTACCAGAACCTATACATAAACTATAGAGCCTAGTTGATACGCTATCCTATTCCATAATCAACTTAACTATAACCAAACCCTAGATATTATACTACCTAAACCTACCACCAGCCAATACTAGCCACATACTCACTTAACCAGTTATATCCTTTATTCTCCAAGCAACCAAAACCCACACATGAAATATAGCGACATTAGTTGCTTGATCCCTTCTCTACCTTAGCCTCCAACCCTCGAGAACCTCCACACAAAATATTAGCCCAATAATCCCTATACCCAATAAAAAGGAGATATTTACACCCCCAAACCCAGCCTTTCTCGCTCTTTATTGTTTTCTTGCTATTTCATGATTTTTATTGAATTTGGTTCTTCGTCTTTCTTAGTAGAGTCTATTTTATTTTGGATGGCAACCTGTATTATTTCGAGGATCGGATAATCAGGTTGCCTATCACGGATTTATTTGCATTGGAGCAAGGCAAGTTATTATTCCTCTCCTTTGAACATAAATGCCCTATATTCTATACCTTTATTCTATGCATTAGTCATTCATGATTTCGAATGCATAAACTGAATATAGCAAACCAGATATGCTAGCTTTTGCTTAGCCATGCCAGTTAGACTGCATAAAATATAATGAACTTAGATTGGAACAGTACGGTAAAAAATGGTTGATTTCCGGGTGGCTAGTACTATTCCAACCGACATAAGACTGCCCAAGTACTTGTGAAGAACGAACGAGTACGACCGCAGCTTCTAGAATGGGGACAGACCTAGATATTATGTTAATTAACAATGTGGTACCTCTGTACAGTGGTTCCTTTTGTAAGTCCTCGCGCAGGAGGCAAATTTACGCCGCGAAGGGCGATTGTAATATTTACTGAGGCGCAGGTAAATATTTGAGATAAATTATGATGACTAGTCTGTTTGTGAACCCTGATTGCGATGACATGGTGTCATACGATCAGTTCTCTCTAAAGACCCCGGGAACGCCAGAACTCCTCTCGCTGCTGATAACGTTACGTTCAGAGCGCATGGGGACTAGAGTTCATGGAACAAGTGCCACAATTGTTAATAACCTAATAATAGGCCATGACTAACCTAATGAATTGGCAAGTCGTGGACTGCGGGTAAAGCGTACATCTACTGCAGTAGAATATTCATGAAACTATTCGAATAGTCGTGCTCACGGAATTGAGTACCGGGACTCATATGGTATTTGATTAGAAACCTAATTCAAGATTTTACTAAATACTGTTGCATTAAAGTCATTACAGGCTTTCTTCTTCTACATCCTCTGCTTTCTGCAATTAAATCTAGCCCTACTTAAATGCTACTATTTCATACATTCATATTGAATATAATAGCTTGCTGAGTACGTTGTACTCACCCTTGCTTCAACCCCACCTTTTTCAGAGTCATTTTGGAGTTCTTGCCAAAGCTGGGAGTTCAATCACATAAGTTAGTTTCATTCTAACTTAATTCTCAAGTCTAGATTAGATAGATGGTTTAGGTCTATAGCCAAACATTAGAGTTAAGTCATTCTATAGCTTTTGCTGTATTAGTTAGCCACAAGTTTTTAAATACCCATATATTTTGTAATAATATATCCTTTGGAGTCTTATTCAAACGTATGCAATGAAGATCCAGATTGTTGAACATGTACCAATTTACTAATCCAGGGCTTGATACAGTTTAAACATGTCGGTTTCCGAATCATTAGTTTCAGGACCTGACACCGTGCTACACTAGCTGGCTTTACAGAGATAGGTACAAATTTGCCATCGAAAATACTAATAAAATCATAGCTAGAAAGATCCATCCCCGATAAGCATTGAATATTCCCATGACGCCACTCTAATGTCGCATTGGCCATTGCAACTTTGGCCGACATATCCGCTTGAACAATTTCAATATCATCACCGTCCCATCGAATTAAACATTGATGCAAGGTAGAAGGCACACAACAATTGGCATGGATCCAACAATGACCCAAAATAACATTGTAGTTACCTTGCACATCGACGATGAAGAAAGCGGTTGGCAACGTCTTGTTTCACACGGTAAGCTCCATCAAAAAGATACCTTTCGCCTCCGTAGGTTCACCATTGAAACCATTGAGAATCATGTTAGTCTTCTTCAACTCATCATCTCCATGTCCCAACTTCTTGAACAATGAGTACGGCATCAAATTCACGGCGGCACCTCCATCCACCAACATCCTAGAGACCGGCTTCCCATCAATATGATCTTTGAGATAAAGAGGCTTCATATGACGATTTGATTCATCGGGCTTCTCAAAAACCGCATCTTTAGGACCTACTAAAAATTGAGCAACTTCGGCTTTATCCATAGCACAAAACTCCATATGCAACATACACACCATGTCAACGTCCATGTCGTCCTTTGGAGATGATTCGTCCTTAGTAACCGGTTGTTCTTCCTTCCCCATTTGCACAACAACCAATTCTTCTCCCCCTATGGATTTACGCCTCCACACCTTTGTAGGCGGTGGTCGCAACTCATTGAATCTTCTATCTCTTTGCTCTTCGGCCTCTCTCTCTCTCTCTTTTAATTCTTGGGCCCAAAGACATTGCAACCTTCTTTTTTGAGTAGCCGTTAAATCCTTAGGCATCTACCTTGGTTTCGGCTTTGTTCCAGGAGAGAAATAATGCCCCCTGTTGATTCTACCTGAAGACGATGAAGCCCCCGAGCTATCCTTTGTAAACCTCTCATCAAACCGGCGCTGGAGCCCGGTCAGACCGGACGTAGGCCGTCAGTCAGACCAGCCAGAGACGCCAATCAAACCGGCATGTGGCCGGCGGTCAGACCGGCCGTAGGGCTGTGGTCAAACCGGCCGACTGCGATGAACTGATCCCGGCTTCGGATTTGTTACTTGAAGACTCCCAACCTCATCTCCAGAACGTATTGGCACATTATGAGACCCTACTTTGATAGTAATCACCTCCGAAGTCCTTGTCTCCACCTTAACATGCTTTCATTCCCTCTTTCCTTCATCAACGAGGTTTTTAGCACAAAACCGGCCATTATTTGGTGAAGACAAATGCTCATGAGCTGGCCTCCTTGGTCCTCCCTATCCTTGATTGTATTGCATTGGAGGCATATGATTGAACATTAGTGGTGTTGCCCCCATGGCATGTAATAAGGAAAGGGATAACCCGGCGGTGGCATTGGATAAGACCCTCATGACATGTCTTGAGAACAATGATATGTAGGTGATCCCGACTGTCTTGGTGAATGACCAAATCGCTCCCTAGGAGGTGATCTTGGTCTTTTTCCTTTATTGCGAGCTTTCTCACCACCTTGCTTCTCATGCTTATCCAAAAGCATATCGAAGGTCACCGCCGCTGTAGGTGCCGCCGATGCAGCTCGTTGCCTGCTGCCTCCCATCTTGCCACCGCTGACTGTGCCTCTGCCAGGACGCCGCCCAACCGCCGAGACGAGAGAGAGAGAGAGACGAGACGAGAAGCAAGAGAGAGGAGGCGAGAAAAGACGAGAGGCAAGAGAGAGAGATAGAGATAAAGACTCGGCGATATTGACTCATATAGGCTGACGCGTCAGCCTGGATCGGCTCGGCTCGGCTTGGATAGGTGCTGGTTTTTTTAAAAAAAAACGATACCTATAGTTTATTATTGGTGCCGGTTCTAAAGAAGAACCGACACCTATAATATCGTTGTCGGTTTTTCTTTAGAAAACTGGTACCTATATTATATTATAGGTGTCGGTTCTTCTTTAGAATCAGCACCTATAGTTGTTTAAAGGTGTCGGTTTTATGTGTTTTCAGTCCACGGAGGAGATAAAAGCATTATAGGTGCCGGCTTTAGCTGATCCGGCACCTATAGTGCCGATCTCTATGAGCTTTTTTGTAGTAGTGCATTCTCATTGGTGTGGGTTCGTCACTTAATGTGCAATTGAATGCTCTAGTACTAGGACTCTAGATAATGAAGGAAGTTCATGCGTAAGGCTAGAGTAGTAACTAATAACTTAGACGTAGTGTCTAGGTTAGAAATTACCTTCGTTTGTTGTGTGCTCCATGGAAAGTGAGGTAGGCAGCAGGTGGTGACAGCTCTATTTGTCCTTCGTATTCCTCCACATTCGGGTACATCATAGAGCTTAAGGCAGGACACAACTTGGCAGACCAGGGAAGAGTCGGTTCCTGAAGCATTCGAATAGAACAATATGTGTTACCCAAAAGTTTCGCAACGTGACTAACAGTACTGAAGTACAGTACGCATCTGAAAGTTTTACATTTTGGTCCTTTTTGAAAACTTATTTTATAAATAGACCCCTAGAAAAACTTAATCCAGGAATAGTCCTTTTTGGTGCACCAGAGAGGCTGGCGCCGTTACCGTGCCACCTCGGGAGAAGGGCAAACCTGGCTGGGCTGACGTGGCGAAGGGGGGCGTCAGCCACACTGGCGTCGTCCCACATACCATGGCGCCAGCATGGTTGGTGCACTCTCCCTGGGTGGGCCGCGCCTTTAACCCGCGCGGGGCCTACCCCTTTCTCCTCCCCCACTCATTTTCGCCCAGTGCTAGCCCCAAGCCCGAGTGCAGTTCTTCTCCCTCTCTCTCTCTCTCTCTCTGCCCCCTCACCTCTCCATCTCAAATCCACTCAATTTGAAGGTGTTTTTCACGGGATTTTTTTGGAAATCAACGAGAAAGGTATACTCCTCCATCCCCCCCCTCTTTTTTTGGTTTTAATCAGTTGAATTTGTAGATCGAAGGGTAATCCCAGAACCCCTTTTTAACCAAATTTGTGATTTTCAATATTTTTTCTTGGGATTTGCTTATTATAGTGATACATGTGTGCAATGTATTCGGTAGTGCCATGATTTTTTGAATTATATATGTGGTAATGTGAATTTTTAGATGGTTTGGTTGGACAGATGGATGAAAAAATAAACTTGAGGCAACGTTGAATTATTAATTTGATGGACCAGAGGCTTTAGGTTAAATTTGTAGGTATGAATTATATGAATGGGAGCCGAATTCGGTAGCATTATAGAAATTTATTATTGTTAATTAGAAGTTGGTTGGGTTGTATGACGGAGTATTTGTAATATTTTGATGTTTAATGCACTAGTTAACTTGTTGGTACTTTTGGATGTGGATTAAATACTTTTCGTGAAGTAGTAGCTTTGGGACAATTTAAGTTATGCATTGGTTATAATATGTCAGTTTGGACTACGTTTAGGAAGGAAGATGTGATTTTAGTTATAAAGTCACAATTTTTTTTGGTGTAGATGGATAGACTTGTTCGTGTTTAGTACAGTGGTAGAGTGGTGGAACCTTACGTTGGTGCACATGTTGAGTTTGAGATATGTCATTCAAGACCATTTTGTTTCCCGCCCGCCCAACTCTAGATGAACTAAGGTCACAAGTGAAAGAAGCTCTTGAATGGACCGAGGATAATGTGGAGATTCGTTTTTATGGGCGATACGATGTTGGTAAAGGGCATAAGTATATATTGAATGTGCTAGGTCAGTTGGAATGGGAAATTTACTTTGATTTGGTAAAAGAGTCTCAGTTTGGATCCCTATAGGTGCTATTTGATTTCCCTCGCTTCGTTTTGTAATTGTTTTGTTAATTGGTTTTTCAAATGTATGTACACTCTAGGCTGGCAGGCTCTTCGGTGTCAATGCAAGAAGTAATTTCTACGAAGTTCAACTATTTCTCATGTGTTAACTTGTTTAATGGACCTGTGGACTTGTGAACTTATGGACTATGTGATGGACTTGTGGACTTATTTGTCAACTTAGTTAACTTGTGGACTACGTGATGTTTGATGTGGAACTTGTTTTGTTTTGTATGTTTACTGTGAAATGGTCCAAATATTTGCATTGTATGTTTACTGTGAATTGTCAACGCTTGCCACCTAGGCGCCGTGTTGGAAGGGGCGGCGCCAACCAGCAGGCAGAGACAGAAGGACCAGGAGGTCGAGGGGTTGGGGGGGTTAGCGCCAGCCACCCTAGCGCGGCGGTTGAGTGGGTGGCGCCAGATGGCGGCCCGAGGCATTAGGTCTTGGGGGGAGGGGGTGGCACCAGCCACCGTGCTTGGGGGGGTGGCGCCAGTCGGTAGCCCGAGGCAGAAGGTTCTAGGGAGTGAAGGGCAGCGCCAGCCACCCTGGCACCGTGGTTTGGGGGGGCGGCAGCGCCAACCGGCAGCCTGAGGCATAAGGTCTGGAGACGGCGGGCGGCGCCAGCCAGCAGCTCGAGGCAAAAGGTCTTGGGGAGTGGGACGGTGCCAGCACAACTGGTGCCCCCTTGCCACGTCAGCCCAGCCACGTTTGCCCTTCTGCCGAGGTGGCATGGTGACGGCGCTAGGTTAGCTGGCGCCACCATCACTACTAGAAAAACAATTTTTCCTGGCGTTACCCTTTAATTTTCGCTGGCAGCCATATGCAAAAACCGCCAGCACAAATATAATGAGGGGAGGGGGTTACGGACCGCCAGCGAAAACTGATTTTCGCTGGCGGCCAAGCTAGGTAAAGGGGACCATTGCGAAAAAAGTTTTGAGGCGAATATATAAACCCACCACACTAGCCACCTACCGCCCCCACCTCAGTCTCTCCTCCTCTCCTTCTCTCTCTCCTTCCTCCACCGCCGCGGGCTGCCATCGCCACCACCGCCGAGGGCTGCCATCGCCACCACCGCCGCGTCGATGGGGGAGGCCGGATCTGCCGCTGCGATGACAGGGGTGGCTGGATCCGCCGCCGCGACGACGTGGGTAGCCAGATCCGTAGCCACGATGACGGGGGAGGCTGGAGCCGCCGCTACCACGACGGGGGGTGGCCGGATCCGCCGCCACGACGACGGGGGAGCCCGATAGGGTAGGGAGGCCGCTGCGACGACGACATAATCACTACTGGGCCGCGGGCAGCCGATCCGGCCACGGGAGAGCCGTGACGGGCTCCTCCCCGCTGTTGCGACGAGCTCCTCCCCACTCCATGTGGCGGCGACGTCGAGCTCCATGCGGCGGGGTCCGGCGGCTGCGGTGGAGTGCAGCAATGACCTCAGCGGCGGCGGCAGCTAGTGGCGATAGGTGCGGTGGCCGTTGTGGAGTGCAGCGACAACGACAATTTTTTTTTACTTTTTGTGATTTGTGAATGAATGTGAGTTTAATTTGTGATTTGTGAATGGTTTGGAATGTTTGTGAATGAATTTGTTCAATTGATTATGAGATTTGTGATGAATTTGTGATTTTGTGAATGGATTAGGGCGTCCAAGGATTTTGGATTTGGGGTGGGGGATTTTTGGGTAGGGGATTTGAGATTTGGGGTGGGGGATTTTGGATTTGCTGGTGTGATTTTCACTGGCGGTTCTCTTTAGGTAGCCGCCAGTGAAAATATATTTTCACTGGCGGCTAATTCCCGCTTGCGAAAATACGCTATTTTCACTGGGTTTTCTTACTGGCGACTGCACTGGCCGACAGCAAAAATATAAAATAGCCACCAGCGAAAAGCTTTTTCATTGTAGTGCATGTTGGAGGGTGGCGCTATCCCCTCCGGCGCAACCAAAAAAGAGCATTGTTAGGTTAAGTTTTTTGGGATCTATTTGTAAAATAAGATTTTGAAAAGTACACAAATGTAAAAATTCAGCATCGAATTCAGATGCATCGATCCGTCTCCACACCTAACAGAGTTAATAAGCTAGCAATTAATTAAGGTGAGTAGCAAAAGTATAGCTAGCTAGCTATCTGCCAAAGGAACGTGACGAATGAGATGAAGTAGCCGACACAGAAATAACAAGCGGCTACGAGATGACTTTATTAGCTAGACTTTTGTCATGTTGTAGGTACTCACCGATATGTGTTTCTTCCTTGTTGAATTGTCTATGTCTAGCTCGTGGGAGAATTTGAATGTGCTCGTGTTTTACTTTTACAATCTTCATTCCAAAATAAAATATGAAATATTTTAATTAAGTATAAGTACAGGTATTAAGAAAAGAGATAAGATTAAATAAGAGAGGATTTTCATTGCTCGAGAAAACAAAATAGATGAAAAATTTAAATAGCGATGAAACTGTTATATATATTATGAGATAAATTTTTAATATTAAATGTTGTTATATTTTGGAAAGAGTTGAGAAGCATGCTGGGCATGTGTCCCGATCGAGAGGAGATATAGTTGTACAGTAGCTAATAGCTTACAGTAGGTAGGTAGATTCGTGTACGTGTGGTGCAGCTAGCTAGGGTGAAGTTAGATGACGGCAATGCGTCGCAGCCTCTCATATGATATCGATCAGCTGGAGAGCTGGCCTGGTACTCTTGCGCAGTAGGGAAAGGAAACGGACGGAGTAGCTCACGCAATCGCTGACCGCATATATGCACCCCGGGTCACTAGCTACCTTTACCTTTTTCGATCTCTTCTCTTCATCTCCAGTGTAAAGCTTTTTTGACTGCTTTTTTTTTTGTGTGTGGGGGGAGTGCTTGTAAACAAGTCCATCGATCTCGTTAATAAAATTCGTGAAGAAATCAATTAATTTAATTATTGTCCCACAGGGCCGGGCGGCATGCACAGTAAATAAATTAAATTAAGAAATGGACAAGAGCATGGTAGCCAGACAAAGACGGACGGACGGACGGACGGAGGACCTTTATTTAAGAAAGAAAAGGGGGCCCCTGCTGCCCTGGCTCATGCATTTGCTAGCTAGCTCATCGTCGATACCAATGGCGACTACCAGGGCCACATCGACGCTGCTGCTGCTGCTGCTGCTGGTTTCGGCAACATGGGCGGCATCGGCGCCGACGACGAGTCGGGCGAGGAACGTGATAACACACGTGAAGGGGTTCCAAGGGAGGCTGCCGTTCCACCTGGAGACGGGGTATGTGGAGGTGGACAACACCAATACCGTTGAGCTCTTCTACTACTTCATCCAGTCGGAGCGCAGCCCCGCCGATGACCCCCTCATCCTCTGGATCACCGGCGGCCCCGGCTGCTCCGCCCTCTCCGGCCTCCTCTTCGAGATTGGTACCCAGCTCTATCTTAATTATTTCTTCATTCATTTTCGATCGCCCAATAAATTAACCACTGATATAGGAGTTTTCATCAATCTACTCTAGCTAGCTAGCTTGTCACACGTACGATTAACTATGCAAAGCATCATTGATTAAAGCACCCCGCCCGGTATATGCATGGTGGTGAAGCGCCGTACATATAATTAATTAATTCCACCCTTGCACTAGGATTCAATCCCAATATATACTATCAACGAATATTTCATACATATCAACTAGCTAGGATATTCATTTTAGTGAGACTAAGTATTGGCCGTTAGTCTTCGTTTCTCTCTCTAAATACGTACGTATTAATCAGGAGACTGTTAATTTCTCAGGTGTGTGTACCTATGGTGGCATGCATGTCTTCAGTGTAATAAAAGAACTACTAATATATATATATCCAACTATATATATCTAACAAGCTTATCTGCGAACAGCAAAAGGTTAATTAAGTATATATGTAAGACTTGGCCTTTATATAATTATATATACATATATATCTGCCGGCCAGTACTGCCACCATGCAACATAGTAGTTTACAAAAGTTCAAATTAACTTGCAATATAATATTGCTGGTCTACGGAAATGACAAAGCAATTGAGTTAGAATAATACTACATAATATAATTAATCGATCTTCTCAATACAACTTGGGGCTCGCGGCGTTATCAACAACGGCTTTTCTTTCGTTGGAAATATCTCCCCTGTCCACATCATACAAGCATGGCACATTGTATATAGATGGTTGCCGAAGAAAAACTGACGATGAGTCAAGTCTTTATTTGGCCTCAAATTTGTTGAATGCTCCTTCCACTATTAATTAAAGTTGAAACCTGCCAAGTTAATAGACTCCTTCCACTGTATATATCTATCCGTTCTGAGAGGTCTTTCACAATATTGTGGATATTTTGCCGTGTAGGTATTCCCTTGCTGTATTGCCAGTGACCTATCTTCTTAGAAAAATTCTACTCCCTCCTTTTCACACTATAATTCACTTTGTTTTTATCCTAAGTCAACCCTCTTTAAGTTAACCAAGTTTAATAAAAAGATATGGCAACATCTATAATACCAAATAAGTTTCATTAAATCCAACATTTAATACTTTATAGTATAATTATTTGGTATTGGTAATATTATCCTATTTTCCTATACACTTAGTCAAACTTGAAGAGATTTGACATGGAACAAACTAAAGTAACTTATAATATGAAACAGAGGAAGTACACCTTAGGCTGCACTCGAACGAGTAGTTTCGGAACTCATCTCTTATGCACGGAAAACAAGGTAATTTATTAGTGCATGATTAATTAAATATTAGCTAAAAGAACTTGAAAAGTGAATTAATATGTTTTTAAAGAAATTTTCCTATAGTATTTTTTTAAAAAAACATCGTTTAACCGTTTGGAAAATGCACTTACGAAAAACGAGGGAACATTGAACACAACCTTAGTATTCACACTCCTATATACTTCTATAAAAGTTGGAGCATTCCCAATTAGGCTGTGTTCAGGAGGTGAGGTTGGAAACTCACCTCCCGCGCACGCAAAACGGAGCAATGTATTTTCTTATGATTAATTATTTTTTTGAAAAATGGATTGGTATGGTTTTTAAAGCAACTTTTGTATAGAAACATTTTGCAAAAAAAACATATCGTTTAGCAGTTTGAAAAGCGTGCGCGGAACACGATAGAGATGAGTTAGGAAAGGTGGGGGAAGAACACAGCCTTAATATATTCCCCCTACCCACCCTGGCCCCAATAAAATAATTAATTCCTATATATGAGTCTCTGTGTCCTAAACAGAATCGATTTCTGGCTATGAACATTTTTTAGGTGAAGGAAATATACCAGAAGTTAGAGTAGCTTGTCAATGACATTCAAGAAGGGATTTGGTTTTCCTGAATGGTTTTATTTAAATTAATACAGAACGAATATGCCCAAGATTGGGAACATCCTGAAATTAAGGCCGTGTTTAGTTTCCCTCCACCAACTTCAAACTTCCAACTTCCCATCACATCAAAAACTTTTCTACACACATAAACTTTTAATTTTTTTCAAATTACCAACTTTCTTCAAACTTCCCACTCTTTCCACCAACTAAACACAGCCTAAATTGAATTGACTAAGCCTCATTTAACTTTCCAATTGCTCAAAATAAAGTAGAGCAGAAGCCATTAGCTAGCTGGGCTAGCTGCTAATACATCACAACTATTTGTCTACGTTCATTTCAGCTTATGGACTATACATATATAATTACAAGCGGTAAAGCGATATAGCATTTTACAATATAAAATTCGAGGGTTGGTTTAAAACGGGTGGAATAAAATTTTATTCACTTTTGACTTTAAAATATTTAAGGGCTTAGGTAAGGTTATGAAAGAACCTATGTGCCTTAGACCTATTACCACCCATATGTACTATGCATGGTTCTTAAGTACTAATATAATTGCTCGAAAAGCATTACATATATAACAATAATTGATTACATGGGCTTGTCTTAGCTGAGCTATTTTTAGTTTTATATTATACTATGTCTAGATTTAAATGTTGCTATATTTTAGAACGAAGGTATATAGTATGATATTAATTTCATACTATGAACTTGGCCACTCTCGAAACATGAACAACACCTATCCATTGAGTGGCCTGCTATACTGACTTAGACCGATCAGCCGGTCTTGGTGATAGGTGGATAAAAAGAGAGAGAAAAGAGGTGATTGTATGATAATTTAATTTGAAGACACCATTCATTGAATATATAGTTTCTACACATAGTGTCTATATGACATGGCAAGTATGGAAACTACTTGATAATTTCTGGGTTGGGAATGGCCTTAATGCATGACGCACTAGTGTGATAACACTAGTAAGTACTCTGTCTAAGACTAAATCCAACAATTAATAAATCCTTTGGAAAATGCAGATCTAGGGAAGATAAAATGAAATTAATGCTTTTGCAAGGTCACTCAGAGCTCGTACGTGATCGCTCGGCCCCAGCTAGGATAGCACAAGCGGCAACCAGCACTATCGCCATCCCTAGCCGTCGTCCCCTCCGCCTCGCCACCGCCGCCTGAGCTATCGTGGGCAAAGCCGGGGGAGGGGGCACAAGGACAACGGCAGCAAGCTCTCTTATTCTTCTCACGGTTGCGATAGTCCGAGGCACTGCCAAGATCGAAGGGAAGGCTGTCAGTGGCGGTATCAGCGGCCAAACCGGCATCGTTGGGTCTCGGCTCTAGTCCTCTTCTGATCTGCCGCCCCAGCAGTCGGTGATGGGGAGGATGCACGACGAACCAGCAAGGAGGAGAGGAGAAACTAGATTGCGCAAGGGTGGAGGCACGACTTACAAGGGCGAGGCCTAGGTGGTAGCGCCTGCAGGTGGCCAGTGCGGCAAGCACACAACGAGGAGGCTGACAAAGCGTGAGGAGGTGGCCAGCGACTCGTGAGGAGGAGGCTGGCAGCACGCAGACCCACGACACGTGTGGCCATGGCCGGGAAGATAGCAGAGCAAGGCGGTTGTTGGTGCTATGAGGAGGTGGCAGGGGGCGTGCGAGGAGATCGGCGATGCGTGATGGGAGCATGAGGTGAAGGCCGGTGGTGCACAAGGCCATGGCCGAGGAGGAGGCCGACACCATGACGAGGTGGTTGGCAGAACTGGTAGCGTTGAATGTGGCTGGCCAGCAAAGGATTGCTAGCGTGGCGGAGACCGGTTGAGTGGTGGAGTGCTAGGTTGCTGGTGACAAATTTGGAGAGGGATCTACATGCAAAAGCCATGCTTGGAGTTCTCTGGGCCAACAACCACGTCTAGGGTTGTTCCCCCCTTTAGGGCATTTTCGAGCTAACGCCTCCTCCCCTGGTAAGATTATTCGGGTGAAAATGAAGCCCTTTTGACAGATGATAGTGGTATTTTCAGCATCATGACCTCGTTGGAGGCATCATCCTCAAGATCTCGTCTTCCTATTGACGCGGACTTCTCTCAGTTTGGTTTTCAATGTTTTCTCAGTTGTCATCGCCGGGTAGGTGTGAGGAACAAGCGGATCTTCTTTTGTCTCGCCCTTTCCCTCTCCAACCCTTCTCCATGAGGATGACTGGGAGCCCGCTGATGATGTTTTGTTTTGGAGAAGGTGTTCGGTGGCGCATTTCCAGCCCATGTAGACTAGCAGCAATCGGTCCTGCATATCGGCGCTGGCTTCGTCCTAGTTCTTTTTTCCAGGAGTGTATTTGGAATTGTTAGCACGGGGTGGTGGTGTGTTTTTGTTTAACTTTTTCCTTATTATAGCCTGTATATTTTTTCTGCTATATCCAATGAAATTGGCACAATCATGTGCCGGTTCGTTTGAAGAAAAAAAGAATTGCTTTTACAAGTGAATTAGTGAAAAGGATTTCAATTAGCTAGCCAGACAAAAAGGCCAGTGCGTATATATGCCTACCACAGATGGTTGCTGAAATTAGCTCGTGATCCTGTCGGTTATATAATTAATAGGAGTATAATTTTTTTTGTTAGGAAAATGATTTTCAAAGGTAATGAGTACACGTGCATATATACAGGCCCTCTCAAGTTTGACGTAGCTGGGTACACGGAAGGGTTCCCTCAATTGTTCTACTTCCAAGATTCCTGGACCAAGGTACTAGCTAATGAATCAAGTATGTGGAATATATTTTGCCTAAAAAAATAAATTGCATGAATAATGAAGAGTGATATATGTTTGATGTTAGGTGAGCAACGTGATATTTCTGGACGCGCCGGTGGGGACGGGGTTCTCCTACGCCCGTGAGGAACAAGGGTACAACGTCACCCTCACACAGACGGGACAGCAGCTGGTGGTGTTCCTCACCAAATGGCTGGGCGATCACCCAGAGTTCGCCTCGAACCCTCTCTACATCGGCGGCGACTCCTACTCCGGCTACACCGTCCCAGTGACGGCGCTCCAGATCGCCAACGACGACGACGCCCGGGCGCGGCTGAACCTCAAGGGCTACCTGGTGGGCAACGCTGCCACGGACGTCAAGTACGACAGTGGGGGCAAGGTGCCCTTCATGCACGGCATGGGGCTCATCTCCGACGAGATGTACGAGGCCGCGCGGAGCAGCTGCCGTGGCGACTACGTGTCCACCCCGACCAACGCCGACTGCGCCAACGCGCTGCAGGCCATCAGCATGGCAACCTTCGCCATCAACCCGGTGCACATCCTGGAGCCCATATGCGGATTCGCGCTGCGCGGGCGCGCGATGCCTGAGACGACGATGGACCAGCGCCTGCGCCTGGGCCTCCCCGTGGAGTGCAGGGACAACGGCTACCGGCTGTCGTACCTGTGGGCGGACGACCCGGAGGTGCGCGCCACGCTGGGCATCCACGAGGGCTCCATCGCCTCCTGGAGCCGCTGCACGGCGCTGCCGCTCTTCCGGCACGACGTGGACAGCGCCATCCCCTACCACGCGGAGCTCACGCAGCGCGGCTACAGGGCGCTGGTGTACAACGGCGACCACGACCTGGACATGACGTTCGTTGGCACGCAGCAGTGGATCCGGACGCTGGGCTACAACGTGGTGACCGCCTGGAGGCCGTGGTACTCCAACCGCCAGGTTGCCGGCTTCACCACCGTCTACGACCACAACCTCACCTTCGCCACCGTCAAGGGCGGTGGCCACACCGCCCCGGAGTACCGCCCCAAGGAGTGCCTCGACATGCTCGACAGATGGACCTCTCCGGCCGGCGAGCTCTGAATTACTTTACTATACTAATTCATCACCGTCCGTATATATGTCCGTTTATGGGAAATCTTACCCCCTTCATAATTTATCTACTTATCTTTTATCATGTCTTATCTTTCTCTTTTCTTAGCCTATACTACACACACTTACTTACAAAATTCGGAGCATTTGTGTGGTCTGTCGTTCTTTTCCCACTCGGTTTCCATTTCGAGAGTGACGAGGCCCTCCTTTTTTTCCTGCACGGCAAATTTCTTGGATTTGTCCCTCACGCACGTGTAGCTCTTCACGCGTCTGATTCCATTCTATTTCCATACGGAACCAAACTCATTGTGATGGACGCGCGTCTTCTTAATCCCTAGAACATGCACCCACTTTCCATGTTTCATTTTCTCCCCAATTTACTGTTAAAAACTTGAATGGGCCTTATAGGGACGATTCGGTCCAGACCAGGTTGCAAGCTCAAGCCTCATTTTTTTCTCAAACAAACCAAGAAAGGATATAAAAAGAGGAGGAGCTCGTTCCAAGCAAATCGAACATAATCTTTAGGCTGTAACAGCAGTGGCGAGCTGGTGGTCACTTGGTACCTTGTCAATCTTATTCCTACCTACCTACTCTTTCCGTCCTGAAAAGAGATGATTTCTAGCGAGAAGAGTTTGTCCCGTAAAAAGGCGACTTCTACACAAAAACAAGAAGCATTCAACCGCTGCTGATTACGAAGTGACTGCTCAATCGGCTCATTAATTAGCATCGATGGGTGAGAAAAAAATAAAGACAACTACGTTCACACTTGTTCACACTTGCTGGATGCTAGTACTACTCCAGAGCACTAGTACTACTTTGCAGAGAATCTTGGTTTGATTTTACATAACTGTCAATTAATGGCAGTACTTTACGAGGGTATTTGGGTCTTTAGCTACTTGTGCTAATTTTGCCTTGGCCTTCCAGGAGTCGCTTCTTTCTGAGACGGAGGGAGTACTTGTTGATATGCGGGCGTAGTATAAGATCTATTATGTAGTAGATGAGTTCTTAGATGATCAGAACATGAGATGGACCGATAGGCACATGGGTTGATGAGATCAATCGGTATATGTGCTGGTGACTTCACTGGAATGTCTGGTACTCACCATGGCCGAGCGCGATTGTGTTCATCGGATAGTCCGATGTCCATTGGAACCGCACGCCAATGAGAAAAGACAAGCCAATGAGATTGCCTCGGTTTCGGCATAATTTGATTACGCTGTTAAGGTTTTCACATGGCGAATCGTAGATAAGATCTATGTACCCCGTGACCTTTTTAGGGCGCTGCCCTAAAAACCGCGGGGGGCGGCTCCCCCTCGACCCTTAGATGAGATCTATTCTGGTTGATCGCCATAACCACGGGCACGACTATTCGAATAGTTTTACTCTGATCATAAATAATCGTGCCCGCGATTATGGGCGATCAAACAGATTCACCATGATTAGACTCGTCTATAATAATTTGACTTAATGGAACTGGTTTAATTTAGGTGGTTGGTTGGGCCTTATCGCAACGTGGTGTAGCGTTGGACAGTGATGATTAATATTGCTTAATTAACTACAAAAGTTTTACTTAACTACAAAAGTTTTACTGCTTTCAACTTATGCTTTTAAATGCTAGCTTTATGCAAATGAACCCCTCTAGCTCTCCTTGGTTATATCCTGCATCATACTCTCTTCCGGTATGACTTGCTGAGTACAGTGGGTAGTAGTCAGTCTTGCTCTGTCTCCCATCCCATAGTTGGAGTATGCGTCAGATGGTGGCTACTCGGAGGAGCAGGCTTTGTCCGTTCCATCAAGGATGCGTGTGGAATGGTGTTGCCCCGCTGTTAGCATCAAGATCTAGAATAAGCTCGCTTTTATTTTCCGTTGCATTTATGTAAGACTTTTATATGTGTGTAAGACGTGGATCTGTATATCAACTTTGTCGTTTGTGTACCCTGGCTGGTCCTGGACAGGGGTTTAATGCACATCTTACTCGGAATTATATTCGGGAATTTCTGGACGTAGCATATGTGTAAGTAGGCTTGCCCGTCGGATGGGCTGGCTATGCGGTTCTGTAGGGAGGACTGTTACAAATGGTATCAGAGCTGACCCTCGTGGTTGCACATACGGGTCAATGTGTGGGCATATGAAGCATGGCACCTGTGGGCTCTGTGTGAGGCACATGGCATGGCGTATGGCGCCGGCACTAGACATACAGACATGCGCTAAAGAGGGGGTGTGTTCCTGGACATTTGCCTATATACCTGTGTAGCTACATGGGTAAGTTGGGCCATGGGGACGTCGGGTCCTTTGAGGGAGGGTGTATGTGACATCCTGGCCCAATTAGGATTTGGCCTGTGTGGCCCATGAATTTAGCAAGGTTGAAACCAATTTATAAGGCATCTTCCCTCCAACCATGTCACTCTCAGGTTAACCCTTTTACAGGAAGCGAGAACGCAAGTGTAAGTGGAGTGGTATATCTGTCGGATGAACTGACTACGTGGTTCTGGAGGAAGGGCTGTTACAATTGGGCCTTCAATATACTGTGTATCTTGTAGGGAGGGATTTTACAATTGGGGTTTCAATATACTGGGTATCCTGCGATACTTGAGAGATACAGTGATTCTAATTGGATCTCTAATGTGGATGGGATCAAAATCACTAGTGGATATGTCTTCAAAAAAGCTAGTGCTGTTGTTTCATAGTGGTCTTGCAAACAAACTATTTTGACGAGGTCAACCATGGAAGCAGAGCTGACAGCACTAGATACTGCTACTGTTGAGGTAGAATGGCTGCGTGATCTATTGATGGATCTGCCTATGGTTGAAAAAGTGATGTATTAATTGATCTGTCTGTGGTTGAAAAACCGTGCCAGCTATTCTTATGAACTGTGACAATCAAACGGTAATTGTGAAAGTGAACAGTTATAAGGATAACATGAAATCATCTAAACATGTGAAAAGACAATTGTAGTCTGTCAGGAATTTGAGAAACTCCGGGGTTATAACATTGAATTACACTGAAATAGCTAGAAACCTGGCAAATCCATCTACGAAGTAACTATCACGAAATGTGATAGACAATGCATCGAAGGAGATGAGTTTGAAACCCATGTGAGTTATACTATGGCGGTAACCCAATCTATATGATCGGAGATCCCGTGAATTAGAACCTGTGAAGAACAAGCCATTAGTCAACTGGAGGAGAGTACCAATCTAAATCCTCTTTAAGTGAAGATGCATGTACTCTCATGAGCTGCAAGGCAGGTTGGCTATATGCCTTAATGAGTTCTATTAGCTTTAATTAGCAAAGATGCTATCCTGTAGAGCATTCTTAAAAGAACACACCTTTGTGAGCTTGACTATTGGTTGTACTCTTGATATTTTAGGTGAATCTTCTAGGAAGCTTACTAAGAGACCAATGAGTATGACTTATACACTCTACCCGAGGAGCAGTCTACTGACGGTCTAGTACCAGATAAGACTCTGTGTGAAACTTGCTTGCACAAGACTTGCAATTCAAGGCATAGTCCATTGTTCAAGTTGTGAGTAAGTGTAGCTTGAAGTTCTAGGTGGATGTTCAATCTTAATCGGTCTCCATCAACAGTTGGTATATAAACAGTACATTGGAAAAAGGCAAATCTCAGTAGGATTTTGAGATTTGGTGGGGAATTATTAGAATTAATAGATGGGTCTTAACCCATTCGAAGATTAATTCTTTGGAAAATCACAAAAGCCCACCTGGGATGGCATGCACGGGGACTTTAGTACCACCTTTCATATTCTAGAAGAGGAAGACCTCCTTATAAGGGAGGATACTCGCCTAGCCACTTGAGGCATGTGAGGTGGAGAGAACGGGGGGAACACACACGCGCTCGCTCGCCTGGCCTAGCATGGCGGCACCCGTGCACAACGTACGCGTCGAATGGTCCCCAAAATTGGTTCCTCACCCTTGCACAGATACGATCTCCTTTCGCAGTTTTGTTTTGCTGCAGAAATTTCGAATTCGTTTTTTGGAAACCCTTCGAATAATCCGATGCGTGAAACGACGTGGAGTCCGGATAAGTTACACGAGACTTATCCGGTTCGGTTACGCGGAGTGAAGATTGTGCAGGTGCCCTGATCAAGCGTCCTAATATTTCTATATAAGTTGAGCGGCTGCCTCCACGCAATATACGTGAAATCAATCTAGGGTTTGCCTCCTCCTCTGTACTGCGCCGTCGCTCATAGTCTACTCCATCCTGCTCGCTGACGTGCACCGGCAATCGGGAGAGCAGGTCTCCGGAACCTTCGCCTTCGATGTCTTGCACTGGGAGAAGGCGGCAATAAGGTTTTTGGAAAATGCTTTGCGCGACTGCTCCCTGTTTGTCCACAATGGCTCATCTTCCTCTTCGCTGGCGTGTTGCGCGCCATCGTCAATGCACGGTACCCTGAGTCCTTCCTGCTGAGCAGCCAGTTTTCCAAAACCCTCGGTATGCATTCGACATATTCCGCATATTCAATCTGTTCATACTTTACTGTCTAGTTTACATGTGTAGATCGTATGATGTGATTATGTCATTTGCAATGTCATGATTTATTTATGGAATAAATGAAATAATTATGTGCTAATATTTTCAACAATCCAAAAACCTTATTATAGGCATTGTGGTTTTACTATGACTAGTTTTTCCCATGCTCTAAGGCCGGATAAATTCATCGGTGTGCACTTCAAGAGATGGAAGATCAGGGTTACTCTGTGGTTGATGGCTATGAAATGCTTCTAGATTAATAATGGCAAACCTGAAGGAGTTCTCATTGCTGAAAAGCAGAAAGAATTCGAGAAGACCACTACTCTCTTTGTGGGATGGATTCGTAGCGTTCTTATCGATCGTCTAGTCGAGGTGTATATGCACATGACTGACGCTAAGGAGTTGTGGGATGCACTGCCAAATTCGGTGCTACTGATGCTAGCAATGATCTGTACGTCATGGAGCAGTTTCATGACTACAGGATGGTTGACAAACGTTTTGTACTTGAGCAGGCTCATGAAATACATGCCATGGCTAAGGAACTCGAACTCCTTAAGTGTGTCTTACTCGATAAAATTGTGGCCGGGTGCATTATTGATAAACTACCTCCATCTTAGAGAAGTTTTGGTACTGCACTTAAACACAAGAGACAGGAATACTCCGTTGAGGGATTTATAGCGTCTCTTGATGTTGAGGAGAAAGCTCAGGAAAAAGACGTCGCGTCTAAGGGCAATGATGGGCAGTCTAATGCCAATGTTGTGCACAAGGCCCAAAACAAGAACAAAGAGAAATATAAACCTCAGCAGACCATCAACTTCAAGCATCAGAAGAAGAAGAATATAACAACAATCTGAACTAGCATGAGAGAACTTATTTTGTGCTTTTTTTACTTCAAACATTAACAACATGACCTAAATACTAACCTACCTATGCCTTAACCTGCTCCAACCGAGCACAAGCCCAGCTGGTCTAACCCCATACTCAGAGCTATCGGGTTGCAGCAAAAGCAGAGCCACTAGCTTTCACTGATTACCCTAAGTAGTTTTGAACAGTAACATGGTCTTCAAAACACAACTTTAACTTCTTGTTTTTATAAAAATATTTATTAAAAAGTAATATATGTATACTTTTATAAAAGTATTTTTCAAGACAAATCTATTTATATAACTTTTACATTTTCAAACTCAACAACTTGAGAGTTATTCATGATTTATATTCCCAAGGTTTGAATTAAACATTGTCCTAAACGACTTCCTTTACGAGTACGGAGCGAGAACTAACCAATATGCATATGACAAGGAAAAATATTATCTGCTCGGTTTCAAAAAAATATATTATCTGCTATATGAAAAATATAAATCAATATATTATACGCTATATTGTTTAAATGATTTTTTTAAAAAAGAGTTAAATAAATATTTTTAGACTTCGATACGGTCTTCAACATGCTACTTTGACCATTTTTCCTGAAAAGTTATAAAAAATGTCTGCGTTTAGTTTGTTGCTAAATTTGGTAAATATATAAAAAAAATCCTGTCAAAATTTTGGTAATATTACTGACTTACTAAAATTTTGGTTTTATCCAAATTTAATGAGGTTTATTTTGACTGTCTGAACAGACCTTTAATTATAAGAGTGCGGGCTGCGGCGTCTACTGTGCTGGGCAAGCTTAATTAATTAGTGGCATCGAACGATGCTACGTCACGTTCCCACTCCCACCAAGTCAAGGATATATACTCTTTTTCTCGTTTCTTTTAGAAACATGCAAGGGAGGAAAAGACAAATAAATTTCTGAGATTCAGAATTTTTATTAATTTTGTACCTTAAAAAATTGATAAAAAGTTAAATAGCAAAACCCAAAAAAATAATAATGCCCTCGTGATCGTACACATCCCATCCATCTACCCACGGCCTGTTTAGTTGGAGGGAGTTTTTAGAAGGGATTGGGAGTTTAGAGGGATGAGACTATTAAGTGTTTTGTTTGGTTGGGAGATATGGGAACTTTGGTGGGATGGGGATGAGGAATTGAGGAAGGAACTCCCTCCTTTTTAATACCTGGGTAGGGGCAGGTAATTGGGAGGGAATTCCTCCTCTATTTTATCTAAGCAAATCTCAGCCATCCGTTTTTATTAATGATATAATCTCTAACTAAACTCCCTATCAATTTTCATCACCTCTACCAAACAATGTATTGGAATTAAAAATCGAATTCCTATCTTAATCTCATCATCAATTTCCTCGTATAAACTTCCAATCCCTTTTCATCAAGTTACCAAACAAGCCGCCATATCAATCTGATTTGGGTCAACGATGCAACAATAATTAGCAAGTGGAAGACAAGTAATTAAGGAGGCAGGAGCAGCATGGAAAAAGAAGAATAGAAGATTACTAGATATTGTACTGCTGAGCGAAGAGGACAGACAGGTAAGCTAGCTAGGCAATCAATCATATTCGCTCTCCAAAATGAAGGGATCGATCATCTCACAAACAAAAACGTGAGGGATGAAGGACAAGGACAAGAAATAGGTGAAGCTATCTACTTCTCGATGCATCTATGTACGGAGGCGGCGGTAACACGGCGGCGGCTGCTGCTGCTTCTTCTTCTCCTGGTCACCTGCAGCTGCCTGTCTGCGAGAGAGAGAAGCAATAGCAGCAGCAGCAGCAGCAGGAGAGTGGTGAGGCATCTCCCGGGGTTCGATGGGGCGCTCCCCTTCGAGCTGGAGACCGGGTACGTGGAGGTGGACCGCATCGCCGGCGTGCGCCTCTTCTACTACTTCATCCGCTCGGAGAGCAGCCCGGCCGACGATCCCCTCTTGCTCTGGCTCACCGGCGGGCCAGGCTGCTCGGCCTTCTCCGGCCTCGTCTACGAGGTCGGACCCCTCACCTTCGATGTCCATGGCCATGGACATGGACAACTGCCAAGGCTCTTGTACAAGCCGGAGTCGTGGACCAAACGTACCAACGTCATCTTCCTCGACTCCCCTGTCGGAACTGGCTTTTCCTACGCTGACACCGACGCCGGATTCCGCACCGGCGATACCATTGCTGTCCACCACATTCTCGTCTTCCTCAACAACTGGTTTCAGGAGGTGCACCCCGATTTCCTCTCCAATCCTCTATACATCGCCGGCGACTCCTACTCTGGGATGATTGTGCCGGCTGTCACCTTCGGAATCGCCACTTCATCACCCAAACCATCTCTCAATCTCAAGGTACTAGCTACTTTTAAAGATACAAATAGGAGTACAACTTACTGAAACTGATACCCTGCCACATCGTCATCTTCAGGGCTACCTTTTGGGCAATCCAGTCACTGATCACAACTTCGATGCTCCATCCAAAATTCCATTTGCCCATGGGATGGGTCTCATATCTGACCAACTGTATCAGGTAATTGGCATCCATATATCCTACTTCACGACGGATTTTTACCAGCATCTTACTATATACTACGTACGTATATAATCATGTATGATTTCTAGGCATACAAGAAGAGCTGCAGTGTCAAGCACAACACCCAGCAGCAAAGCGTTCAGTGCACAAATACTCTTGATGCCATAGATGAGGCATGTACTTAGTAGGATTACTTACTCTGCTTTGTTGTTCAGTTTCAGTGATGCTGACCACTAATAATCAATGGTCTGTCTCTTGAATTAATTGTGCAGTGTGTCAAGGACATATACGGAAATCACATTCTGGAGCCTTACTGCACTTTTGCAAGCCCGCATAATCCGCGCATCGATAAGCCATTCACTTCAGGGGTACGGCAGATACTCCAACTCCAAGACTTTCACTTGTCTGAGATTTCTTCAGAATGCAGAGTCAGTGGACCCTAATTATTTTCTTTATCAAATCTTCTTCGAGTACTAGCTACCCCTCCCGTCCCAAAAAATCTGAACAGCCTTGTACTAATATATCCTATCTAATTAAAATATATCCTCCGTCCCATAATATACACTCAAAATATCTTATAATATGGGACTGTGAGAGTATATGTTAGTGGGTAGTATTGGTTAGCCGACCAAATCTTACCATTTGGTATTTCTTCATGTCATGCAGACGGCAGAATATACAATGTCCAGAATATGGGCCAACAATGATACAGTAAGAGAGGCCCTTGGAATTCACCAGGTATATACACATCTCTTCATCATCATTCAATTGAACAGTAATTTGCATGCAGGTTCGATCATTCTGTCACACAGCATAACACAACACAATGCAATGATCCACTGTATTCATTCTGCAATGCAGGGAACAGTTCCTTCGTGGCAAAGATGCAACTACGACATTCTGTACACTTATGACATCAAAAGTTCAGTAAGATACCATCTGGATTTGACAACTAGAGGCTACAGAAGCCTAATTTACAGTGGTGATCATGACATGATTATCCCTTTCATCGGCACGCAAGCCTGGATTAGATCTCTGAATTTCTCTGTCGTGGATGAGTGGAGACCATGGTTTGTGGATGGACAAGTTGCAGGGTGAGGACACACAGTATTCATCGATACCATCAAATTAATTGAGTACGTGTGCGAGTACTGTGTCTGTCTCTGACCAGATATATTATCCGTCTGTCTTATGTGCAGATATATAAGGTCATACTCCAATAACCTCACATTCGCAACTGTCAAGGTATGTGCCAGCGTTTTAGCTTCCTTCAAGGGATGCAACACATTAATATCTTGGTACGCATGATCTAGGGTCTGTTTAGATTGTAGCCAAAATAAATATTATCAAGTTTTGGCAATACTAAAATTCTGGTAAGATGGCAATATTGTCAAAATTTTGGCAGAATTTCTTATGTATTGACCAAATTTGGCAACAAACTAAACGTAGATATTTTTTTTATAACTTTAAAAAAATAATATGGTTGAAAATGGCATCAAAGTGAACAGGCCCTCAGTAACTAAAAAGAGTATTTTGGTGTTAATTTGTGTAGGGTGGTGGACATACTGCTCCAGAATACATGCCAAAGCAATGCCTTGCTATGCTTGCAAGGTGGGTTTCTGGCAATCCTCTTTGACGATGGTGCATATATGTGTAAGAGAAAATTCCAGGATGGAGATATTACATCACAAGAAATTTATGATTTTGCTAAAATTGTGGCGACATTTTTTTCCCCATCACGGTTGAATGCTTTTCTCTTGGGTTGCGGCGGAGACTATACTCGCGCGTGTATTATATATGTCTGTTTCTTCACGAAGTGCATGAAGATTTGTCCCATGTGTAAGATCTGGAGAGTGAGAACAAAACATGGTTCAATACAGTGCAAATGATGGATCGAAGAGCATACTCCTACACGTCAATGTAAATAGACATGTAACATTTTATTACGCCGTCAGTGTGGCCCCCAGTTTTGTACACCGGAAATCCAATGTGTTTTACGATATCATTCTCTGAATCATCAGTACTTATTTGTATAAAGCTAGATTTCATAATTCATTTTACAACCCTATGACTTAGCAGTTTTAACTGAAAACAATGTTAAGTTGAAATCCTCGATTATCAACGAGGGTTCATCCACCTTCCCTAAGCTTCACTTCATCCGGTTTACCCTTGCATCCAGTTTTCCGTATTCTTCACCATTCCAACCTTCCCGCACATTAGGCAGGGTCACACAATCCCTCCCAACACTATTCAAAGCAAGATTAAAATTTATAAGGCTATTCAAGAGTAATACAAGTCCCGACGCTTAATCGCGAGCATGACTATTCGAATATATTTGTTTACTCACATTGCAAGGGATGTACGCTTTTAATCCCGCACTCCGTGACGCACACAACACATGAGACTTGTCACAACCCTATTTTTCAGTCACCCTTGCATTGCGACACCCACTGCAAGGACTCCTGGTATTTCGAGGTACTAGGAGGATTACACAATATATATACTTAGGTGCCTTTTAGATTTTTGTCATGGCATTTGATCAATCGAACACATCTTCCATCACAAACAGTAACAACTGCAGAACTACCATGACAGGTGCTGCCCCACTCAGGTTACCTAATGCATCAGGTCTATACCCACTCAAGCAATGGAATCATACTCTGATTGTTTCCTGCGTAGCTTCTTGACTCGGTCCTTTACTTACTACAATCGATGGCTTGTTGTTTCATAGAACCACACATATTGTATCCATGTCGTCCCAGTCGAAATTATTTTGTTTTATTAAGTTTTTGGTATTTGCAAAAGTCTTATGTTGCGGGTGATGCTCATGTCTCCACCCGTCTTTCAACAATCACTCACATCGACTGACCAACACATTCACATCCATATACCAAACATGGAGTGTAAAATTGTCTAAACAAGCAATACTAAGTTATGTTAATAATTGACCATGTAATAATAAATAGACTAAGACAGCAAGGAATATGAATAATAATTTTAAGGTGGCTCAGAATCAAGTTTAGGTACGAACTTTATAACTACTCCCTCCGTTGCATGTTATAAGACTTTCTAGCATTGCCTATATTCATATATATGCTAATGAATCTAGACACACATATATGTCTAGATTCATTAGCATATATATGATGTGGGAAATCCTAGAAAGTCTTATAATATGAAACAGATGAAGTAGCATGCAACTTTATTTGCAATCAATACATCTATTAACTTATTAAAGGAATAGAAAAAGGAGCCTCCACGTTCGCTCTCACGATCTAGAAATTCTCATATTAATCGGAGAAAAAGAAAAATAGAGTTCATATAGAAATACAATTTAGAAATAATTGAAATTCGAAGGAATATTGGAAGAGAAGACTAGAGTCCATATAGAAATACAATTAAGAAATAATGGAAATTTGGAATTAAAAATAAGGAATATTAGAAGTAGAGTATAGAGTCCATATAGAAATACAATTAAGAAATAATAGAAATTCGGAATTAAAAATGCGGAATATTAAAAGTAGAGTATAGAGTCCATGTAGAAAGCCATTAAGAAATAATAGAAATTCGGAATTAAAGATAAGGAATATTAGAAGTAGAGTATAGAGTCCATATAGAAATTTAAAACTAACTCAAATTCCAAATAAACATAATAAAATTAACGTAGAGTTTAGAGTTCATATAAAACTACAATTTGCAAATAACCAAAATTCGAAATTAAAAGAAAATATGGGAAGAAGAGTCTAAAGTCAATATAGGAATACAATTTAGAAATAACTGAAATTCGAAATTAAAAATTAAAGAATATTGAAAGATGAGTTTAGAGTTCACATAGAAATACAATTAGAAATAATAAAAATTCAGAATTAAAAATAAATAATATAGGAAGAAGAGCCTAGAGTCTATATAGAAATACAATTGACAAATAACGAAAATTTGGAATTCAAAAAAGAAATATTGAAAGACGAGTCTAGAGTCGAATATAATTTACAAATAACTAAAATTTAATATTAAAAATAATTAATAACTAACACGTATATAAAATACAATATAAAAATTACACATTAGTAGTTTCATAAAGTTAATACAAAATTTAAAATTATGTTGTCATTTTAATATATTTGAATAATACATTGAGAAAACATGTATGTTATTATATGAGAGAAAATATAATGATTTTAGCTGCACAATCTGCGCAGGTCAACATACTAGTTTATAAAAATATGATCAACATGCTAAATGAGGGGAGCGTAGAGACTTTGAAGTTTGAACAGCTCTTCGTCGATTACTGCGGCTTCGTCTACGCAAACGTAAAACCTGTTTGGCGAACAACGGGTCAAAACCCGGTTTTCCTATTTTAAAGCAAAGGGGCAAAATCCTAGAAAAAGGAGTAAATTTTACAAAATTACAAATACTTTGATCAAATTATCGCAAAACTACAGATTTAACAAGATGTATCACAAGACTACAGATTTAACACTAATTTTATCACAAAACTACAGATTTAAGGTAAAATATCACAAAACTACAGATTTAGTAATAAAGTTATCACAAACATATATGTTTAATGTCAATTTAATCACAAAACTTGGATATTTATAACTCAAACATTACATTAGTGCAAAGGATTTAAATCCTAAAATTTATAGTTTTGTGATAATTTTATTCTAAATTATGTAGTTTTGTGATAAATTTGTTGCTAAATATGTAGTTCTATGATATATGACCTTAAATATGTAGTTTTATGATAATTTAGTCAAAGTATATGTAGTTTTATGAAATTTACTAATAAAAAAAAGGTAAATATATGTCATGATATCTGCGCTGAGCCTACGAGAGAGATGCCGACGAATTTGATGGTGCGTATCATTTTGAAGCGTAATCCACTCATCATGTACATTTGCCTTGCTCAGTTGCTGTCGTGAGCCCAGCAGGCAAATCAGACAACGCAGGATATGCAGTGCTCTGCTCTGATCTGATCTGAACTAGTACTAGTATAATAAATAAGAAAGATAATTTGTGTGTCTCTCGTGGCAAGAAGTGGAGTACTCCTAGGAGAGATCAGTCGTCCTGGACGCAGAAGATGGTGGGCTTGACGGGCTCGGTGATCTCGACGGTGCCCTCGAGCATCTTGGCGACCTTGCCCATGGAGGGCCTCATGTCGGCGCGGTCCTGAAGGCACCACATGGCCGTCTTGACCATGCGCTCGACGGTGGCGAGGCTGGCGGGGTCGTCGTCGTAGGCCTCGGCCTGGACGATGCGAGGGTCGATGATGTCGTCGATGCGGCGCTCGACGTAGACCTTCTCGAAGGCCCACTTGGGGAAGTACCAGTCCTCGCTGCCGACGGAGTCCTGGCGGAAGCCGTAGTTGCGGCGGCCGGAGACGATCTCAAGCAGAACCATGCCGAAGCTGTAGACGTCGGCCTTGGCGGTGATGGGCTCGCGGTGGATGACCCACTCGGGGGCCATGTACCCGCGGGTGCCACGGATGCGGGACATGGTCACCTTCTCCTTCTTGCTGGTGAGCTTGGACAGCCCGAAGTCGGACACCTTGGGGCAGAAGTCGTCCTCCAGAAGGATGTTCTCAGGCTTGATGTCGCAGTGCAGAACCCACTCGAGGCACTCCTCGTGAAGGTACGCGATGGCGCGCGCCACGCCCAGAGCGATGCGGTAGCGGGTGTGCAGGTCAAGCAGAGGCCGCTTGTTGCTCTCTTCTTCGTCTCCTTGGGTGCCGGTGCCTGGAGCGAACAGGTACTTGTCCAGCGATCCGTTTGGCACATACTCGTACACCAGCATCCTCTGCTCCTTGTCCGCGCAGAACCCCCACATCCGCACCAGGTTGAGGTGGTGCATCCGCGCGATGATGGTCACCTCCGCCCAGAACTCCGCCTCTCCCCCGCCCACCCCGTCCAGCTGCTTCACTGCCACCGCCCGCCGGTCCGGCAGCTCCCCGCGGTACACCTTCCCGTACGCCCCGCGCCCCACCAAGTCCGAGAACTCCTTGGTCGCCGCCTTCAGCTCCGCGTACGAGAACCGCCGCGGCCCGCCGGCGGGGAGGTACTCCAGCCCCAGCGTCCGCGCCATCTCCCTGTACTGCGAGTACTTGCGCAGGAACGCCCAGAACGACAGCACCCCCGCCAGCAGCTCCACCGCGAACAGCGCCGTGATGATGGCGATGTTCCGGATCGTCGTCCGCCCCTGCTTCGGCGGCACCGGCAGCGCCAGCCGCACCGGGCACACCGTGTCGATCATCGTCGTCATCCCCGTGAAGTTGTTCGGGTCGTTGTTCGACTCCACCACCCGCAGGTAGGTCGACATCTCCGTCGCCGGCGACCAATAGCCGTCCACCAGCCGCGTGTAGTGCAGGCACGTCCGGTCCCCGCCCAACTTGTAGCCGAAGGCCACGCAAGAGGCGTTGGCCCGGCACTTGCTCTGGCAGTCCGCCAGGTTCTGCGGCGTCAGGCTGGTCATGTACTTGCCGGGGACGGACACTCCGGTGTCGGCGCCACCGGAGAAGGAAACGAAATCCATCCGCACGAACTTGTCGTCGTTGCCCTTGCCGCTGTAGTTAAGCTTGGGGGCGCAGCCCAGGCCCTGCGGGCGGTACCCCGGCGGGCAGACGCAGGTGGTGTTGTCGGCGCCTTGGGGGACGCAGATGTTGGCCTCCCCTTGGCAGGCGCCCCGGATGGTGCAGAGCTCCTGCACCAGCTGCCATACCACCCGCCACTGCCCTTTCTTGGACTGCAGGCTGTAGAGGCGCAGGTTGCCGTCGTCGTCGAGGGTGAGGCGGCGCAGGCGGCGAGTGGAGCCCTGGTCGGAGGCGATGAGCTGGGAGGGATTGCCACCAGCGAGTTGCAGCGTGCCGTCGGCGGTGAGGTTGCGCAGGGCGGTGTTGCCGGTGATGTTGGCGTAGGCGGAGGAGCCGTGCTGCAGGGTGAGGGCGTTGAACAGCTGGAATCTGCCGTTCTGGGACTGCAGGGTGATGCTGGTGGTGGTGGTGGTGCCGTTGCTAATGCTGGGGATGGCCTGCGACGCCATCAGCGTGTCCGTCGGCTCCCCGAAGCTGGACCAGGCGCCGTGGTCGAGGCTCCCCGAGTCGTTCAGAGACAAAGGGGCACTCGTGGAGTTGAAGTTGCGGGACCAAAGGGTGGTGCTGTTGCCGTTGTCGCTCCACGACAGCTTCCCCGCCGCGTCGATGGAGAGCACGGAATTGGCGTCGCCCTCCACGGCGGAGTGGTCGTCGTTGTGGGCGTACCATATGACGACCGGCCTGGACTCGTTGGCGTTGGCGCTCACCCAGACGGCGAACCAGAACTTGGCTGGGGAGGAGGGGGAGGGCCGGAATCCGGCGGCGAAGTCCCCGTTGTTGGAGACGAGGGTGCGGTTGCTCTCGGCGGGGCTCCAATTGGTGTCGTTGGCGGAGAAGGTCCGCATCTGCTGGGCCTGGGCCTGGGCGGCGGCGAGGGCCGGTAGGAGGAGGAGGAGGAGGACAGCGGCCGCCATGGTTGTGCTTGCTGGATTGGGGAAGGGAATTGGATTTCTTGCTTTTGGATTTGGGATCGAACCGACGACTCTCCTCACCTCGAGTCTAGTCAACAACACTGTAGCCAATTTGCCCATCATGTAAATTGAATATTCATTGCCTTGACTGTGGACTGGAATTTCTTCTTCAATCGCGCGCGTAATCCATGTGCCTTTCCTGTTGCCCACGGCGGCTAATCACAATCAATATTAACGCTTTCTCAAATACTCCCTCCGTTTCAACATATTTGACACCGTTGACTTTTTAATATATGTTTAACTATATGTATACATAAAAGTATATTTAGCAATGAATCACATGATACGAAAAGAATAACTAATTACTTTAATTTTTTTTTGAATAAGACGAATGGTCAAACACGTACTAAAAAGTCAACGGTGTTAAATATTTTGAAACGGAGGGAATATAATTACTGGAGTACTACTAAACATTTGTAATACAGGTAAACAGCGATATAGTAATATATTAACTGCATCTGCATGCTTTCGTCCATCCGTCTGACTTGCTTCCAAATTCATGCTACTATAACTAACTTAAACCTCTGTTACTCTCCATTTTTACTGCAAAATAATTGCCACTCGCTACTCCGGTTTGGTGGTTACATTATTGAGAGAGATGCTCTCCGTGGACTTGTCATATAGTACTAGTATGTGTGCTGTGCTGTGCTGTGCTGTGCGTGGTCTGGTGGTGGCGATGAGGACAATGCTGCAGGAAGCTAGATTTAGACTTGGACACGAAACCGTTGACTTTGATCGGACCAGTCAGCATTGCTAAGAGCACCCGCAATGGTAAAGTAAGGTGCTATCTATAAAACATGTACATCTCAGCAATAGACTAGATTAATAAGTAAACCATCTCAATAGTATGTCTACATAGGTATCTATAGCTCTCTAATACATTGTCTCGTTTTTCTCTATAGACTATCTCCAGGTTAGTAGATAGCTTTGCTCTCTCTCTTCATTTAATCTCTTCCAAGTAGGAAAATATGCTGACATGGATATCTTATAGAGAGCCTATAGATAACCATTGTGGGTGCCCTAAGCAGCCAACCTGACCGCTGTTTCCTGCCTCCTTGCGTGATCTCAATCATTTCCCCTTTGTTAACACTACATGTACGCTTACATTTTACGGTTACCCAAATTTACCGGTGAAATAAAATCCCAACAATTCTGAATGTTTGGGATAGGAAGATTAGACAGCATACGCTCAGAGAAATTAGATGGGTGGTCCGCGCAATTACGCTGCTAGCATATATATAAAATTATATATTTTTAATATGATTTTACTTAAAATTTATTAAATAGTTGTCTCATTGTCTTAAGATTTTGAAAGACCAAAACTTAGCATACTTGTGTTTCTAATTTTATAGTTTTTAAAAGTCACACCAGTTACTAGCCCTTACTTCTGTTATATTATTATTTATTTACTTGCTCGATCAACCACTGTTTCTATTCATTCTCCTTGAAACCTTTAAAATTTGGATATAAAAACTTATAGTTTTTAGAGTTTATTGTCATGTTGGGCTTCTTTTTTATAATTTCTAGAAGTTTCGTCAAACGCTACCATTATAATCCTCTACGACCGTCCACTGCATCTTCTCTTTATTGTCATTACTATTTTAATAGTCTAACATAATTATCGTTTACGTTCATTTTTTTACTTTCTATAAGTTCCGCCAAAACGTCAGCGACTTTGTTATTGTCCTCCCCTACGATTCACACGTTGCCGCCCTTCTTTAATGTCATTGAGATTTTAAAATTAAACATGATTATCATTGGTTTTTTTTTACTTTTTAGAAGCCCAAACCTTTAAAAATGGACCTTATAGTTTTTACAGTTTTTTGTCTCGTTGGGTTTCTTTTTTTTTACAATATTTAGAAGCCCGAACCTTTAAAAAATCCTATCAAACGCTACCACTATACTCTTCTACGACCCGTTCGCCGCATACTCTTTATTATCATTGGGATTATAAAAATCGAACATAACTATTGTTGGAATTCATATTTTAATTTCAAGAAGACCCACCAACTATTGGTGGCTCTGCCATTGTACTCCTATACGACCCGCCCGCTGCCTCATATTTTAATTGAGATTTTAAAAATAAAATATGATTATCATTGGGGTTTATTTTTTTTACTTTCTAGAAGTCCCGCCAACCGCCTTGACCGATTGCTTCATGACCTGTCCATCGTCCTTCCTTTTAATCGTCATTTGGAATTTCTATTTGGTGTTTTATTAATAGTTTTTAGATGTCCCATCAACCGCCACCACTCTGCTCCTGTATAGGCTTGCTACTTAATTAATCTCATCATGTGTTTCAGATGGTCTTTTCTTTCAATAATCTTTATTTTTTATCACTAATTTTAGTTATAAATTGTATCCCTAGTTGAAATCTTTTTTTCTTTTTCTCATTTTAGAATTTAGTTTATTTACATATTGTGTTCTTTTGATATTTTTATTTTTTTATTTTTAATTTCAGTTGTTTTAAAATTGTATTCCTACTTTAACTCTCTTTTTAATTTGCCTAATTTTGGATTTCATTTTATTTTTTTATTCCGAATTTTAATTAATCTACTATTGGGTTCTTATACATACTCTTATTTTAATATTGCTTATATTTAATTCCGAATTTCAGCTAATTTTAAATTGTACTCCTACTTTAACTCTTCTTTTCTTTTCCTTTTTTCTAATTTTGATTTTTTTTATTTTTATTTCGAATTTTAATTAATCTCGTATTGGATTCTTTTATGGACTCTTCTTTCAATATTTCTTTTTTAATTCCAAATTTTAGTTATTTTTAAATTGTATTCCTACTTGGACTCTTTTTTTTTCTAATTTCGGATTTTATTTTATTTTTATTGCTAATTTTGATTAATCTCGTATTACTTTCCTATTTAGACTTTTTATTCAATATTGCTTACTTTTAATTTCGAATCTCAGCTACTTTTAGATTATATTTCTACTTGGACTCTTCTTTTCTTTTTCTCGAATTAATGTTGGAATTTCTAGCCTCCACAGCGAACGTTGTGCCTCCTTTCAAGGTTTGCTAATTTCAGATTTTATTTTATTTTTATTCCGAATTTTGATTAATCTCGTATTACTTTCCTATTTGGACTCTTTTTTCAATATTGCTTACTTTTAATTCCGAATTTCAGCTATTTTTAGATTATATTTTTACTTGGACTTTTCTTTTCTTTTTCTCCAATTAACATGGGAATTTCTAGCCCGCACAGCGAACTTAGTGCCTCCTTTCAAGGCTGTTTTAATAATATAATAGATAGATAAAAATAGAGAGCAGACCAAATGAGCCTAAATCGAATTGCGTGAAAAAAACGAAGAGGAAGTCCAACTCAGCAGATAAGGCCTGGCTTAGTTTCCTAAAAATATCACAACGAATCTTTGACACATGCATAGAGCATTAAATATAGATTAAAAAACTAATTGTATAGTTAGAGGGGAAATCATGAGACGAATTTTTTTTATCCTAATTAGTCCATAATTAGCCATAAGTGCTACAGTAACCCACATATGCTAATGACGGATTAATTAGGCTAAAAAGATTCGTCTCGCGGTTTCCAGACGAGTTATGAAATTAGTTTTTTTAATCGTGTCCAAAAACCCCTTCTAATATCCGGTCAAACATGTGTGTAACACAAAAGTATTCTTTTCGTGAACTAAATGGGCCCTAAAAACATCATTTCTTGTATATGGCCCAAAAAAAGATGATTAAGAGTTTTTCTTACAACGCACGGGTAAATATAATTTGTAGCATGCATCGAAGTATAACCAATCAATCGACCACGGCAGCGTAAGGATACACAGAAGAAAAAGGTAAGCCGATGGATCGAGATAATTAATAAAGAAAGGCTAATAATGACTATTTTCAGTTTTTCCACCACACAAAAGCGTTGTTACGGGTGAAATCAATTTTAATCTTTCCTATTAATCCACTCAAATGTGTCATTAGGAGAAATGTGTGGGCCCCATCGGGAGAAGAAATATCTCCTCCGGCTCGGCTCGGCTCGATTCTAAAGGTGCCGGTTTTTCTGAAAACCAGCCCCTTTAATTAATATAGGTGTCATTTCATTAAAAAACCGACATCTATAATTAATTAATGGTGTCGTTTTACTTTAAAAAATCGACACCTTTAGTATAGGTGGTTTTTTTTACAGAATCGACACCTATAATAAAGGTGTCGGTTTTTTATATTTTCGGACCGTAGAGGTGGGAAAATGCTTATAGGTACCGGTTTTAACACTTCCGGTATCTATTGTGCTAACATCTATTTGATATTTTGTAGCAATGGTACAAAGAGCCATAGAATGAGTGGGGCCTAACAATTGTAGCCCACAGTCATATAACAGAGCAATCAAAGATTTCAAGACACGTACGCACGTAGTTAGTAATTAGTAGTTGGACGATAAGTTAGAATAAAAGAAAGCCAAATCTATATCTCTACTATTATAAAAATTAAAGATGTTTTTGCCGGCACTTTGGTACGTTATCCGTGTAAGAGTCGGTTTTTAAGTTCGTTCGCTTTTGGAAATACGGATATCTATTTGAGTCAGGTTTCTAGATTGTTCGCTTTGGGAAATACATAAGGAGTCGTATAAGAAATCTCTTTAAAAAAAACTCGTATACTAACTTGAGATGATTGGACTCCTAATTGTAGTTCATGATTTTCTAGAAAAATACATATCCAAGCGAATTCTCACAGTAAATTTCACATTAACTAAACCGTATAACAATAATAAAATTTAAATAACCTTCACCCGTTGCAACGCATGGGTATTCTTTATAGTCTATCTAACTAAAAAATACGTAAGGTTTCCATAAAAAAATTTCCGTCTGTTTTTTTTCCGATTCAGTTTTTCCCGTGATTTTTCGCTGTTTTCTTTTTTTTCCGATTCTTTTTTTCGTGTTTTTTGTCCGCCTCTTTTTTTTCTGTCCCTTTTTTTTTATTTCTTCGTTTCTTTTTTCCATCCGGCTTTTTTTCTGCCTCATTTTCATCCGCTCTTTTTTCGTTCGTTTTTTATCTAACCCCTAGCGTCGCTGCCACGTTAATCTGGGTTCAGGGTTTAGGTTCCTCCCCATACATTCCCTCCTCCAATTGACTGAAAAAAGATTCTTCACTACTCCCTCATTATTTTCCCCACTATTGTTTCTTTCAATTCCGCTTTAATTTACCAGATCTAATCTCCATTTAAAAGTCACCATGTAATCTCCATTAAAAGTTCATTTTTATCCTGAATTTTATGGATTCGTTTCGATTTTGATAAAAACGAAAATAGTACGAGTGTATCATAAGTCCACAATCAATTTTGGGAGATCGAGAAAAATTCAATCTGGGGAGGATCGGTTCTAACATTGTATGGTGACGAAAATATCTTTCTAGAGATTGAAGACGGCAGTCGCATATTGATGGGGAGGATCTGTCTTTCAGAGATTGAAGACGACAGTCACATATTGATGGGGAGGATCGGTTCTAGGATGGTTTGGACACGAGATTGTCTTCCAGAGATTGAAGACATCAGTCGATTAGGCGAGCTAGGCTTACGGCTTTACTTGTAGGCTAGCCAAAGAGAGGCAAGCCAAACAGACGGAGGTAACAGGTTAGACTGGGACTGAAAAGGAAATGAGTTTTTCCTCAGAATAAAAAGTATAATGTAAAAAATGTTTTTACCCGTTGCAACAAATGGACATTTTTTCTAGGTACTTACTAATTAAGCATTGATTTTTCTTTTGATTTTTCGCAATTTTGTTTTCTAATTTTTCAAGCCTTGACGAGGCATTGAACCTCCCGGTCCCAGCCCGACGCCAGGGCTACCGGCCGCTCCCAGATCTCATTTGAAGCATTGAGCAGTTAGGTCTAACCACACGGAACTTTCCCCGATGTGAAGAGGATTGGAAAAATAGGAAGAGGGCAGCCTCCAGCGACAGGAAGTTCACTTTAGATCTCTTAAATCGTCGCCTGGTTTTTGTCCTTATTCGAAAAACCAGATACAACTCATCACTTAACTTACAAAACCGTGCAAACGAGATTCCTCGATATTATTGTCTCTGGTTTTGACTAACGTGGCGTCTTTAACCATGTCTTCATCACACGTGGTATTGACGTGGCGCTTACGTGGCTATTTGATGAAAAAAAAATAAAAGGAACAAAATAAAAATTTGGAAATAAAACAAAATATACGGACGCACATGTCAGAATAAAAAATAGTGAGACCCACCTCCTACACCTCACCCTCTTCCCCTCTCTTCCAATCCTCTGCCTCCATCCTCCATCCTCCCGGCGACAAGCACGGCGGTACCTAGCTGTCGTCCGCGCTGAGATCGTGCATGAGCTCTCCTCCTCCGCTTCGTCCTCTCCCCCGTTACTCCAATCCTAGGTACCAACTCCACCGCCACATCTCGCCGCCGCTTGCAGCCTCGCCCCCAAATCCAGCGCCACTCACTCCCCACTCACACGCTCCTCATGTTCTTCTTCTATCGCTAGAGAGCAACAGCAAGGACCTCTCCATCCATCGGTGGCTTTTTACCCATAGGAGGGGAGAGGGGAGGCCTGGCCATTGACGCTGTCGCGATGGAGCGCATGGCCAAGCACTGCTGGGATCTGTGGGACGCAGGCAGCGACGCCGGCGTTAGATCCAGCTGGCCGGTAGCTCATGCCAGTGGCGGAGGGGTCAAGCCGTCGTGGGAGGAACAGGTGTTCTCGCAGGACGCAGCGGAGCACCTCGGCGGCTGCTTGTGGCCGCCGTGCTCCTACATGTGCAGCTTCTGCCGGTGGGAGTTCCGGTTAGCAGGCGCTTGGTAGGCACATGAACGTGCATTGCTATGACCGTGCTCCCCTCCGGCAGTGCGACGACGACATCGACCCGATTCAACCACCAATCGGCAGCATCTGCGAGCCGCCTACTCTTTTACCGTCAACGGTAGTAGCAGCAGCAGAGTATCCTTTTTAGATAATGGAAGTTTTTATTTAACTCAGTCAATTACATCGAGATGATACAATTATCCTAAGAACACTCTCGGCCTATGCATATCTCCTGCTACAAATATCCAGCCCTAAATCCACAACTGCTCATCATCATCATCATAATCAGCAGCTGCAGGGCACTAATTCTTCGTCTCTGAATTCCTGCATAACAACCATCATCAAGAAGAGCAGGAACAAGACAAGATGAAGAGAGGGGAGATTGGAAGAGCTGAGGAAGATGAGGAGGGGAGTAAGAATGACATGTGGCCCCACCATTTTAAATTACTATCTTTTTGTAACTAACGTGTGGGTCCATGACTATTATTTTTCAAATCGAATTGTCATGTAAGCGCCACGTCAATGCCACATGGGACGAAGATCTAGTCAAATTAGTCACATAGGCGCCACATCAGCCAAAACCGCCGTCCAAACCACCGAGGGACCTCATCTGCACTGGTTTTGATAGTTGAGGGACCCGTTATATCTGGTTTTGCGGTTGAAGGACGAAAATCGGATTCGTTGACAAGTTAAGGGACCTCAAATGAACTTATTCCCTAGGGACATGTCACGCCCAGAAATTCCCGAATAGAATTTCAAGCAGAATGTGCATTAAAATCCCCGTCCAGGACCAGCCGGGGTACACAAACGACAATGTTGACATTCAGATCCACGTCTTACAAACATCATAAAAGTCTTACATAAATGCAGCGGAAAGAAAGAGAGACAACAGGAGCTAAGCCTTGACTAGAACCGCAGCGGGATCACCACTCCACAGGCATCCTCGACGGCACGGACGAAGCCTACTCCTCGGAGAAACCTTCATCTGACACATACTCGAACTCTGGGGTTGGGAAAAGTAGAGCAAGACTGAGTACTACCCACTGTACTCAGCAAGTCATACCGGAATAGAGGCATGATGCAGGGAATCATCAAAGAAGAGCTAAAGTGGTTCATTTGCATAAAGCGAGCATTTATAAACAGAAGTTGAAAGATTAAACAGTTGTAATAATTAATTAATATTAACTATCCACTGTCCAACGCTATCCCACGTTGCAACAGGCCCAACCATCCACCTAAACTATCCAGTTTCAAAAGATTACACTAGGGTGAGACTAATCACGGTGAATCTGGTTGACCGCCCATAACCGCGGGCACGGCTATTCGAATAGTTTTACTCTGATCAGAGGTGTACAACTGTACCCACAAGACACAGCCCCACAACACGTTTCCGTGCGCCGACATGCCACCACGGCATATCAGAAAGAGGCCGTGACAGGACCCTTCGCATAACCCCCTCTAGCCAAGCACACCACACCTCAGGTTTCACACCCACTCCTCGCAAGGCAGCGGGCAGTCCCCTCTCGTGCCTAGGTGAATCCGGAAGCGACAGAGGCCGTCGCAGGGCCCGCCCCGCTCCATCACGCCCACCCTTGCCTGGATGCGTCGACTAGAGGAAAGCTATACTACAAGCCCAGCCGTTGCCCACGCTGGCTTGTGGTAAGTACGATAAGTTCTTCCAGGGCATCCCGCGAACCGGTCCTTAACTGCCATGGGTGCGACCAGCAAAACCATGCACCCACAGCCCACCATGTGGTTTATTTTAATTAACCAACACCAAAGCGGTGTCACTAATCCAACAAAACCATTAGAACCAACAGTCTAAACGTTAATAGGATTTTCCCCAATGTGAACTAGTTGAACTAAGCATGGCTAAGCAATCCCTAGTCCTAACTCTAATCATGTTAGAACCCCAAGTTGACAAAGAAACAAGGTACAACAATAGCATGGCTACGACAATAGGTAAACAACCCATAGTAACATTATAAAACAATGCAATATTTGACAGAAAGCAATAGAGCATTTGCAATATAGGATCAACATATTCAAGTGACAAGCATGACTTGCCTTGCTCTGCTGCTGGAGGAACCTCGGCGACTATTTCGAAGTACACCGGAGCGTCGGAGGAACCGGAATGTAGCGACATACAAAGCAAACATTGCAAACAGGCTATAAGACTACTGAAACAGAGAACGAAACCATTTTTAATGGACTCTACACATTTTTCTTGATTTACTGAGACTTGAATGGGCTTAAACGGAGCTCGGATGAATTAGTTATGAATTTTAGAAGATTCACTGTGTTTATTACTATACAAGAAAAACCTTAAATTATTTATTGCGCAATATATTCCAGGGCTGACGTCATCAAGGCGGGGCGGCGCCGGCAAGCGGGGCCCACTGGTCAGCGGCTCAGGGGAGAGCGGTTCACCGTGGACCGGGACCACGCGGGTGGTCCACCGCCGGTCCACGGGACCGACGGCCCAGATCGCCCTCGGGCCGATCGGACGGGCGGCGGTGGAGGCAGCCGCCGGGCTCGGCTCGGCATCAAAGCCGACCGGCCGACCCGGGGCTAACGGCGGCGGCACGCGCGCGTCGCGTTGCCAGCGACGGCATCCGGCGGCGGAGGCGACGGCGCAAAAGCGACGCGAAAGCGGCATCAGTGGACGGCGGCAACGACCAAAGGCGACGGCGAGCGCGGGCGGCGGCGACGCACGGGGAAATCGAGGAAGTAAAGGAAAGGGGAAGGAGTCCTCACCGAAGGGGACGACGGCGTCCGGCGACGAGGAGCGACGGAGGGAAGTCGACACGCGGCGGACGGCGACCGGGACGACCTAAAGAACGAAACGAAAGAGATTAGAGAGGAAGAGAGGGGCCATAGGAGGCGGGGATGTCGGCCGAAGGCGGCGGACATGGCGACCCTCACCGTCGCACGACGGGAACGGCTCTCCGGCGACGGACCTCGACGAAAGAGGGGTGGACGGGGTGGATCTCGGCCACGCGAACCCGACGGCGGCGACGACGCGGTGCGGCGGCGAGCCTAGCGGCGGCCGGAGTAGCGGAAACGGCGGCGGCGGGTGGTTGCACGGCGCGGGAGCAATGGGGAGCACGAGGGAGTTCGGCGAGAAAAGGAAAAAGCGAGAGGGAGCGACGGGAAAGCTTAAATAGGGGAGGGGAGGGCCGGACGTGGCCGGGAGAGGCGGGATTCCGCCGGCCGAAGTGGGGGAAGTGGGGGAGGAGAGAGAGGCGGGATTCGAAAATCGAATCCCGGCCATCTCGGGCGCGGGCGCGGGCGGGAGAGAGAGGGGAGTGGGCGCGGGAAACGCGGCGCACGCGCGGGCGTGGTCGACGTGGCCCGGAGGAGGCGGAGGCGTGGACGCGGCGGCGGTTGCGGGCGCGGCGGTTGCGGGCGCGGCGTCGGCTGGAGGAGGGAGACGGGCCCGACAGGTGGGCCCCACCTGTCGGCGACCCCGAGAGAGGAGGGAGGCGGGACGGCCTGGATGGGCCTCGGCCTGCGGCCGGCCCAACAGGGAGGAGGGGGAGGAAAGGAGAGAATGGGCCGACGGCCCATTCGAAAAAAAAGGAAAAAGAGAGGGAAAAAAAAAGAAAAAGGAAAAAGGATTTTCCCTGGAATTAAAATATTGCTTGCTCAATTTTAATTGGTTAAAATTATTTTTAAAGCTCTGAAAATTCCACTAAAAATCCTGTTAGTGAATTTCGACATGTAGAACTCAAGAAAAATTCCACATGCCAAATCCGATTATTATTTGCATTACTTTCTTAGGGTTTACTCTTGCTTTGCACCTGTATTTTCTTGGGGTCATTTATAAATTAAATTTAGGCTTGGGAGGAGAACTTCGGGGTGTGACAGGACACTACACAAGTCGGCCCATAGGTCCCATATTTCCTTTCGGCCCAATAACGCCCAAAAGTTACTGTTCTTCTTTTCCACACACTTTTTTTTTGCGAGGATTCTTCTCCATGCACTTGCATTCACGAAGAAAAATTTGCGTCGTTCTGCTGCTGCTCGGGGAGGAAGAATGATGCCTCAGGAAAATAGGGATGGGGATATTTGTGATGCCGCGCAGCTATGGCAACCACCTCATGCGAGGCCCACATGTCGGTCTCTCTTCTCTCCCTTCTTCTTCCTCCCTTCTTTCTCTCATCCGTGGCACCGTAGAGCTTGAAGCGGTAGGTACATGGCAGTTACGGATGACTTTCTGACTTTCCAGAGAATATGAAGAACGATGTGGTAGCAGAATGAGGAGGTCCCATTTTTGCCACTTTCGGCGGAGAACTGCATGGTTGAGGGCTTTCTATGAGGTGGGAAGCGAGGAAATGGGGAAGGAGTAGGCGGCCTATATGCAAGGGCAAGGGGCAGATGACGGGATGAGGAGCGGCACCGCACGACTAAGGTCGCAGTGGCTGGCGGAGGAGGTCGATCACGATAGATGAAAGAGAGCATGCGACGTGAATGAGGATGAGCGATGCGCTACTTGAGCTGAGCAACGATCTGTACATTATGGGTGGGCATTGTTTGTGGGGTGGGGGGGGGGCGGATCTGGGGCGCGGGGTTGGCATGAGATTAGCAAGAGAGGCGCGCAACACCGAGTCCGGACCAAAATTGTTGTGCGCTGGCGGAATTGATTTGATGGCGGGACGAGGCGGACGAAACCTAGATCCGACGAACAGAAAATTACAGATTTTTTAAGTAGGTTAGATTTGTAACAAGTGCAGAGTTTAAAAGAGGCGTCATAGTGGAACAGTCGTACTCTGCGGTTTTTCCTTTCTCTTCGGGGGCGCAGGTCCCGGCTAGCGTCCCTCTCGACAGTATAATGTCGATCGTGTAAAAGTTGTAATACCCTCTTTCTTCTTAATAAAATTTGGCGACTCATCCTTCGGCCGTCCTGGCAAAAATAAAGGAATTAATGCAAGTGCTACCAGGAAGAGGCATCGATGATAAACAGATTGAAGGCTGCAGCCTACTTCTCCCTACTCCGACCTCTTCCTCCTTCCTGCTGATTTCTTCTCTCCAACTATGTTCTTTGATTTCCCGTTCTCTACTTCTCTTCCTAATCTACTTGCTTGTTCCCCTTAATTGTATTCAATACTTGAGCAGTACTCTCTGGATCGGTTATTGGTGCTTCTCCTTCTGGTGTTGATTTTTTGAGGATGAATTGAGAACATAACACTAGGCAGCTGACGTGTTAGATCCACGTGGGTTTCATGCTGACTCAATCGATTCAACCTCATCACATTAGTTGAAACCGGGCATAGTAGTGCACTAGTGCTTAGATCTTCGTGCATCTTTTGGTATTGTAAGTTGATGGACGCGTTATATCTGGTAATACGTTTTAAGAAACTCAACGTTCAAATGGCGGACCTAAAGTGAACTTATTCCTGTGTAATACTCTGTAGCAAGAATTGGGCCCGATTTGATTGTGCAAGTAGAAGGGAAGGCCCAAAGATAGTTGGCTTTGTGATATATGAAGTGACGACGCTAAGATTGGGATGGTTGTTGTTGTGATGTGCATGGGATGGAATCTGCTAGCGTGGCTGTGGATGCGTGCGATATGATGCAGCAGGGAGGGAAGGAGGGAGCGAGCATTGGTGGAGGCAGCTGAGCCAAGCGCAGCCCATCCATATTCCTGCTTTTTCCCCTATCGATGACACACATACATGTCCATCTAACAAGTAGACGTACTAGCTAGTAGTAGGAACGTGAGGAACGTAGCCGTCGTCCCAGTCACACGAACACGCACACGCACACTTTCATTCGTGTGTGTGTGTGGCTCTGCTTGCTTCTCGTTAGTATTGTCCATCGGATCGGTATATATATATAAGTTGCTGAGGAAGAAGCTAGCTAGTAATTAAGAAGAGGCGGAGCTGGATCGATCTATCGTTGAGTTGTTATTGCCACACAAACACAAACACTGACGCCCATGGCCTCCGACGGCACCGATGTCGTGGCGCTCTACGGCGGCGCCAATGGCCTCTCGCACAAGTCCGGTAGCTTCTCCGTCAAGGTGGGCCTCGCCCAGATGCTGCGGGGCGGCGTCATCATGGACGTGGTCACCCCCGAACAGGCGCGCATCGCCGAGGAGGCCGGCGCCTGCGCTGTGATGGCGCTGGAGCGCGTCCCCGCCGACATCCGCGCCCAGGGCGGCGTCGCCCGCATGTCCGACCCTGGCCTCATCCGCGACATCAAGCGCTCCGTCACCATCCCGGTCATGGCCAAGGCCCGCATCGGGCACTTGGTGGAGGCCCAGATCCTGGAGGCCATCGGCGTGGACTACGTGGACGAGAGCGAGGTGCTCACCCTCGCCGACGACGCCCACCACATCAACAAGAACAACTTCCGCGTCCCCTTCGTGTGCGGCTGTCGCGACCTCGGCGAGGCGCTCCGCCGCATCCGGGAGGGCGCCGCCATGATCCGCACCAAGGGCGAGGCCGGCACGGGCAACGTCGTGGAGGCCGTCCGCCACGTGCGCTCCGTGATGGGCGACATCCGCGCGCTCCGCAGCATGGACGACGACGAGGTCTTCTCCTACGCCAAGCGCATCGCGGCGCCCTACGACCTGGTCATGCAGACCAAGCAGCTGGGGCGTCTCCCCGTCGTGCAGTTCGCGGCAGGTGGGGTGGCCACCCCCGCCGACGCTGCCCTCATGATGCAGCTCGGCTGCGACGGCGTCTTCGTCGGCTCCGGCATCTTCAAGAGCGGCGACCCCGCGCTGCGCGCCCGTGCCATCGTGCAGGCTGTCACCCACTACAGCGATCCCAAGATTCTGGCGGAGGTCAGCAGTGGGCTCGGCGAGGCCATGGTTGGCATCAACCTCTCCGACCCCAAGATACATGTCGAGCGCTTCGCCGCCCGCTCCGACTAGCTAGCAACGTAGAGTGCCATCCTTCCTTTCCGTCCCCTGCCACCACTGCCACCAATTCCTTCCTCATAATTACTGCCATATCTGTGATCGATGGTTGTCATATATTGAAAATAAACAACAAACATAGTGTATATATAGTACTATATACTCCCTCCTTTCCACAATGTAAACGGCTGTAATTAATATGCCCCTAACATCACTAAAGGACCATGCACATCTATCTATCTATTTATCTATTATATTATTAAAACAGCCTTAAAAGAAGACACCACGTTTACTGTGGGGATTAGAAATTCCCACATTAATCGGATAAAAGGATAAATATTTACACCGTTAGATCGTAGTTGTACTAGATTTTAGTGGTATAGATTATTCATGACAATATTGAGTCTAAATAGAAAGCAACTTTGATCTAATAGGAAATATGGGAGTCGGACATGTTGAATGAATAGAAGTCGGACATGTTGATTGATTAGGAGTCGGACAGGTTGTCTGAGTATGGATGCTATGGTCTTATGGACAGTAATCAGACAAATTACATTAATCTATGTTTAGATGGTAATTAGAGTGCAAATTGAACTATAGTGATCTACGTTTCATATGTGGCTGGAAAATATACGTGCCATACATACATGGCCATTGATAGTAAAGAGGGAGAACACTGCATGCATGTCATGCCGTATGCACATGCCAAGATAGCAGAGACATTGGGCGGAGATAGCCCACAATCGATCTAGAAGCAAAACAAGTATGCTACGAAGAAATCAACATAGATATACATTATTTTATAGGACGAGACTACCGATCGGGCGCCCCATCCAAGCATGAAAAAATCGGACGCTAACGTCAGCATAACGTCAGAGCCATGCATGCGTGCAAAACCACTTTAAACTATTTTTTCTCTTAAATTATTTATCCAAATCATGATCCGATTACATCATTAAATTCGTTGCAATTAAATATTCAAAACAAGACCACACATGGATATATTCCGGCGAAATTTTTTTAGCTTATTATTAAATCGGGCGTTATTTCACCTTATATAAAAATAATACTTTAGCAAATAGCGGAAGAATGTTTCAGTTCACTGCAACATTAGATCTATACATAGTAAAACATTGTGAGTACACTTGGTGGAACATTTTTTGTGGAACATAAAAACGAATTCCCTTAATAGAGAATTTTCAAAATATGTGGGTGATTTGTTGCAAAAGAAGTTTCGTTTACTGCAACATTAGATCTATACGTAGTGAAACATTGTGAGTACACTAGGTGAAACATTTTTAGTGGAACAAAAAAATAAAACGACTTTCCTTAATAGAGGGTTTTTAAAATATGTAGGTGATTTATTGTAAAATAATATTTTAATTCACTGCAACATTAGATCTGTGAAATATTATGAGTACATTAAGTGAAATATTTTTTGAGACACGTGGTGGGGCCAGGGGAACGTGCGCACGGGGAGGGGGGGAGCGCTCGATCCTGCTCCACCCCCGTCGGTCGCCCTGGCCTAAGCATATTTGTATTTTATAAGACATGGCAAATAAAATTTAAGGTACAATATCTTCGCCAGTATGATCTATGCATGTACAAGACCATCTAAAACATTTGACGAGATAAATTAAGTAGCAGGCCTACAAAGGAGTAGAGTGGTGGCAGTTAATACGACATATAAAAACTGTTAATAAAACACCAAATCGAATCCTAATGACGATTAAAAGGAGGGACGACAGGCAGGCCGTGAAGCAAATAGGCAAAGCGGTTGCCGGGACTTATAGAAAGTAAAAAAATAAACCCCATTGATAACCATATTCGTTTTTTAAATTTTCAATGATAATAAAAAGTAGAAGCAGCGGACAGGGTGTATATGAGTATAGTTACAGAGCTGCCAACGGTTGGTGGGACTTCTAGAAAATAAAAAGTAAATTCTAACGATAGTTTTGTTCGATTTTTAGAATCCCAATGACAATAAATAGTAGGTGGCAAATAGGCCTTAGAGGAGTATAGTGGCATCGTTTGATGGGACTTCTAAAAACTATAAAAAATGAAACCCAATAAGACAATAAGCTCTAAAAACTACCAATTTTTAAGGTTCGTAACTTCTAAAAAGTAAAAAAAACAATGATAATCATGGTCGATTTTAAAATCTCAATGACAATAAAGAAGGGAGGCAGCGGACGAGCCATAGAGGAGTACAATAGCAAAGCCCCTGACGGTTTGGTAGGACTTCTAGAAAGTAAAAAAATGAACCCGAACGGTAATTATGTTCAATTTTTAAAATTCCAATGACATTAAAGAGAAAAGACAGTGGACGGGCCGTAGAAGAGCATAATGACAACGTTTGACGGGACTTCTAGAAATTATAAAAACGAAACTATAAGATCCAATTTTTAAAGGTTTCAAGGAGAATGAATAGAAATAGTGGTAGATCGAGCAAGCAAATAAAGAAGTATATGACAGAAGTAAGAGGTAGCAGCTGGTCTGACTTTTAAGAACTATATAGTTGGAAATACGGAGATGATAAGATTTGGTCTTTTAAAGTCTTATGATAACAAGATAGCTATTTAATAAATTTTAATATATAGTTGGAAATACGGAGATGATAAGATTTGGTCTTTTAAAGTCTTACGACAACAAGATAGCTATTTAATAAATTTTAAGCAAAATTATACCGAAAAATTTATAATTGTGTTTAGGTGCTAAGCGCGCAATTGCGTGGTCCACCCAGCTAGTTATAGAAATGCTATACTGTTTATCCCGCCCGACCACACGCCCACGGGTTGCCATTTTCATCAATGTGCCTCAAAGGTGATGGTTTTTAATGGGAACCAGCACCAATAATAAAAGTGCCGAATATTTTAACAAACCAACACCTGTGCATGAGATAAAAGTGTTGGTTTTATAAAAAACTGACACCTCATCGGAGCTGAGCCGAGCCGTGCTGAGCGCTTGGACCGCCAGGTTTTTTAAGTCCGGCACTCCCTTGTTTCCTTCACACTATCATTCTTCTCTCGTCTCTCTCCCGCCGGCATATCTAAGGCTGGCAGTGGTGCGGCTGCGGCGTGCCCGCCCCGTGGCCGCTATGCCCGCAACAAGTTAGTGGTGCCGAGCAGCCCACATGCAAGCCCGCAAACTTCTGGCGGCCTTGCCCACCTGTTCACTGGTTCTACTTTGTCCAGATTAAAAGAACATGCATGATCAGATAATCAGCTTACTATTTGTGTGCTAGTGTTTGTAAGTAGTAGTAAACCACAGTGGCATCAATTACAAGAAATGTTTGAGAAGAATTCAGACTAAGCACTCAATCCCAAACAACGATATTTCCTCCAAGATTTTGAAGATGGCAAATAGAATGACAGAAGTCACAGAACCGTTGCATTGCTCACTGAATTTACAATATTGATATGAGTGGAATAATAGGACATTATGAATATCCTAATGAAGATCAAACTAACGATTGTATCAATAACACAAGACTGTGCTCTACTTCAATGCCTGATGGTGTTGAAGCTTGCAAATCTTCAGATTCTGGATATTGACAAATCATGATTATATATGAGTTTTTCATCAGGAAGCACTACTTCGTGAATATTTGAAAGAACAAAGGATGCATGTTGCTTGCACTAGTTCAGTCGAAAATATGGCCAGCAAAAAAAACAAGATCCCAGGATATTAGCAAGCAACCTACTAACCATAAAGAATCAGAAGAATCTGCAGGCACCAAAGAGAGAAAACAACCTGCAATTTCTACATAATTGAGTTCTGCATAGGAAGTTTAGAATGGTATAATCAAAACTTGGTAAAAAAATGTGGGCAATTCATGGCAAAGAATATAATTTTCTTACGCTGGCAAAGAATATAAAATAAATCAACATTCAGACAATTTGGAGGCTGCATTCAGCACATAACCTCAATGTTCAGACTTTCTCCAGGAACTTCTCAGGAACCCCTGCATATACTGACAGAATTGCATAACATCGAATTCCATGAAAATATAATCCACTTAACGCAAAGAAAGAAATACACCACCATCTGTCTGTCAGTAAAGGTGTGAATACATCACCATCTGTCTGTCAGTAAAGGTGTGCTCCCGTCTAAGCAAAATGTAAGCACACAGTCATATGCACATCTCCAAACTGTCTTCTGTCATAAAAAGGAATTTGACAGCCAAGCGACTGCATTATATAATTGACATAGCTTAAAATCTAGGGGGCTCTAAAACTCATGAACAAAACAGATAATTATTTTAGTGCTGAAACTTAGTTATCCAAGGCTAATCTTGTGTGTTCAAAGTGAGCGCCGAAAGTAGTTACACAGTCAAAAAAAAAAAGAAGAAGCAGTTACATGTAAATTATTTTTTTAACTTGTTTTCATGTGTGAAAAAAAAGCAGTGTGTAAGTAACGAGTTTATACATAATAATGCTGAACAGGAATCGAACAGCAAATAGAACAGTCTATTCATATAACTCAAAACAAAGTCAGAAAGATATAAGATTAATGTACAAGATTCAATGATGTTTCTCAAACAGGCATATCACATATTTACATCCCAGGTGACCATCAAGCATGTTATGTAAAGGCAAGCCATCAAAACTGCACATTGTTATGCACGAAAGCAACTAATCACAAACAAGCAGGAGCTAAATAATCTTCTTTTTTTAGTGAAGTGATGCGTACATCCTTACAAAATTAAATATGGTTTGAATCTGAAAATTACATCCTTGCTTTCTGGATTCATCCTACTCAGATTCACTGCATCTGCATCTCCCTTTCACTGCATCCACATCAGGGAAAAAAAATTCAAGAACTCACATGCATAGAGGTCGACAGGATTGAAGCAGAAGCTGGTCTAGCACCACCCACAGAAATTGACAAAACAGGTGGAGTGGGTGCGATGAGCTACGATGAGTGCGCCGCCATGAGCCCATGACCGGCGATGACCACGAAGGTCCCTTGGAGGACGCATTGGAAGCGGCGGTGCTGGAGGAAGTCTGCAAGATCACTAGGAATGGCGGCGGAGGTGGAGATGGCAGCAAAGGCGGCGGAGGAGGAGGCGGTGGAGGCGTCATCAAATCCATGGCGGCAGCGGCTAGGGTTCAAGCCGCAACAGCGACGAACTTGTTCGTTCCCCTCCTCTTTCTGATGCTCCCTCGATGTGGGTTGTGGTGGCGCCGCCGGACGTGGTGGGCTTGCCGCATCAGCCCACTTACTCCTAAGTGGTTAGGCCTAAGTGGGTAAGTGGTGCGGGCCTGCCCAGCAGCTGCATCAGCCCACGCACGCCACTGCCAGCCTTAGGCATATCTCCCCAGCGCAGCAGCGGGTCAGCAGCTCCTCGAGACCTTGACATGGCGGCGGCGGCCAACGGCACAGCGGGGCCGTGTCTCACCGGCGCAGCAGCGGTCACTGGCACGATGGGGGACTGGGGGCTGTGCCTCCCCAGCGTGACGGCGGAGACGGCCGTGTCTTCCTCCTCCGTCCTACTCGCCCCTCCCTCTCCTCTCATGTCCTATGAAAATGCGTGGAATTCATATTTTTTTTAAAAAAAAGTTATATCCCAATAGGTCCTACCAATATCATACTATTTATAGGATTTTTTATTATTTATCTATTGAAATTTAAATTAGGATGAAACTTATCGAATTTCTAGACAGCAACAACATTTGAGCAACGTCCGAACATTGGTTTTTTTTTTTTTGGAATCTAACCGTATTTCATGAACCCTAGTCCTGTCCCGTGAGGCGGACAAGAAGGCGTGGGGGCCTGATCTGGCCCCTGAGCTTGGGACCTCCATAGCGGCGAGGAGGAGGTCTGGTGAGGAGTAGCGGCGGCCTCCTGCTCGCCCCTCCCTCTCCTCTTAAATTAGAGAAAAATCTTAAAAATTTCGGGAAAAAAATTCCTACCATTGGTTTTGACTTAAATTGGACACGTTATTTTCAATCTATTTTTTCTTAAAAAGAACACCCAAGTCCTCCTTCCCTCCCTCCTTCTCCTCCCCTTTGTGGTATATGATGCATCTGACACATTATTTTAGGTCGTTAGATTAGTTATTTAGAAAAAAAACATCCCAAACCTCCCTCCCTCCCTGCCCCGTGTGCAACGTGTGTCATTCTTTTCTCTCTATGTTTTATCTCCTTGATAATTAAAATTAAAATTATCTATATGGGAAAATAACAGAAACATACCTCCATCTATTACTTATATCACATTAGGCATTTAACGACTTTCTACCAACCTAATTAATTTCTCTTAACATGCATATTGGCGCTATGTACCTATACAAATTGTTCTTGATACTTTTAAAATGATCTTTTTAGGAGATAAATAAATGTTCTTGAGAAAGATGATCATAGCATCCAAATTACACATATGATCCATGAAGTCACTAATAAATTAGAGAAAAAATGTAAGTGATATATCATTTTCTTAATAATAACATGTACTCATGTAGCATTATAGACAACATATTGAAAATAAAGGTGTGGTCTGTTAAACATCATACCGATAAGCATATGGGTTGCACCTAGAAATCTTAACAATGAAACAACCTTAGTAATATATCAAGTCGATTCCATATAGGAATTAAAGACCATATCCTTTCTTTTTAAAACTTGCTAACGTACATTGTAAATTCTTTGATGTGGAACAATCTAGAAATGTATATTTGTTATAAGACAATCCAGTTTAGTGATAATTAGCTAAAAACACAATGACCATTACTTCAATATTTCATGAGAGAAAAGTTAGAACGTATTGCAAATATCAAAGCATTTCATGGATGATTCATAGAATAGAAATCTTCAAAAAGAATTAAAAAATGGACTTGAAATAAATTGAAAATTGAACAAATGTTGATGTATTTAAAACCCATTCAAAATAGAAAAAATCAAACAATTTACAAGGACTTTTAGAATGAATATATATATATATATATATATATATATATATAAATAATAGAATAGAATAAAATTTTAATATTATTGGATTTGTTTTGGGGTTGTAAAATATCCTTATGGGGAGTCAAAATACTCTAAATTTTTTCAGAGGAATTTCATTTCGATACAATATTTTGTTTTAGAATTTATATATTGCAAAGGTAATTATCAGAAAATAAACTAGCTTTCAAAGGACACAAAATAAGTTTAATTTTAGTTTAGAATATAGTAAAAAAATATTTTAATGAAAATTCACCTGTACATAAATATTTATAATAAAAATTCACACACATTATATAAGGTGTGCATATTATCTTTGTGCTTTATACATCGGCTCTGGCTTACAACATTGATGGAGTCTTTGTGCTTTATACATCGGCTCTGTCTTACAACATTGGTGGATCACTTGTTTTGAATTGGCACTGTGGCCGAGATCAAGAACTTATCTTGCCTTAAGAGCAGTACAATAGCAGACTATAAGACAGCTATAAACATATTTCGAGAATATAAAACAGGAGAGAGAAGAGTAGCGGGCTACAAATTTATAGCCAGCTGCGGCACAGACTTCAAGATGCAAATGTAAATGACAGGTGGGACCAACTATGACTTGTGTAGTATATATTTATAGGTAACTATTATATAAATCAGCATTAAATTGACTATAGATAATTTGGAGCCCGTAATTGGCTATACTATTAAACTTGCTCTAACCCTCCACCAGTTCACTGATCCCTTGGAAAGTCACTGAACGTCGTACCTTCTTTCATCTTCTCAAGAAGACACAAGGTAATGATCAATGACGTTTTTAGTGACGTAGTGTGCACAAAGGTCAATGAGATGAGACCACAAAGAAATTATCAACCAGTGCATAAGAGCAGTTAAAGATTTTCAAGACGTACTCAGTCCACATCTCCATGTTGACCGTGGAAGATTATCAGAAAAGCTCTCATGCGAGCACACATTTCCTTTTCGTTTAACCCGGACATCATCTTAGGAAAATACAATTTAATTTATCTGCGACGTTTTAGGCAATGGCCAGTCTAGACAAAAACGAACATTGCCATAATAAAACTCATAATTAAAGTACTCTTAGGATCCTACCAGACCAGACCTCAGGTATGATCTCCAAATATGACTTTCATTATGTTGGGCGTGGTTTCTATTGTTTTTCTTTTCATATATCCCTGATTTGGGAAAGATTGTTGTGCATGCACTTGTCAGATATGTTTTCATTCAGTAACATACAGTAATCAACATTTATAGAAAAAATTAGTATCATCTACAACACCAAAATGTCTTGTTAATCTAACATTGAATATATTTGTTTTGTGTTAAAAATGTAACTATGTTTTCTATAAATTTGATTGAACTTTAACTGATAAAAAAATCAAAGCATCTTACATAAGTAAAGAAACGGAGGGGGTAGTTTGTCAACCCCATGACAACTGCTACTTAGACCAAACGGGCAACTAGCAAGATACTCCGACTGCCCTGAACATAGCTCCTAACTCACTCTATATGTACAGTGACATTTGCTCGATACATGAAACTTGAAATATTTACTCTATTATTATTTCGTTACATCATGCATGTGCTACTAACAAACAGACTGACTATGAAATAAACAATGTGTACATACAAAATCCAGATCCTTGGGGAAAATCAGAAAGGAGTTGATCTCTGAGAGAGCCAGTCATGGATGGCAAAACGAAGGGCGTGGTTGGGGGTGATTGGAGGGCCATTGTCCATCAACTCGGAAATGGCGCGCCCTTCGTACGTCAACCCGTCCGCCCCCACCTGGGGATCATGCATCACTTCCTGCACAAATTAGAATGAAAAAAAAAACACATTACTACCGCATTATTATTAGTAGATATTTTGGGTTACTTATGGGCTTCTGCCCTATCGATGTTCTTAGGTTTCGTTCTTGCCTTGAGGATCGGGCACAGGAAGAAGGAGGGCACTTGTCTATTATCCCTCATCAGGTGGAGCTGTTCCAGATCTCGCACAGTTTCTGGAGTCAGCAGCTCTGGACTTGCTGCCTCACTGCACTTGAGCCCCAACTCTGCTAACCTTCGAGCCACCTCCAGAGGCCACTCTCCAGCTGTTGGATCTAACAATGACCATAGCTTTCCACTGGACATTGCACGCCTTACTTCGCTGGGAAGGCCTGCAGCCTGCTTCCCAGTTAGTAACTGGAGTATCACAATCCCAAAGGAGTATATGTCAGATTTGGGTGTCAATGGTTTGCTTCTCCGGTATTCCGGGTCTGCGTCCTTGGCATCTTCCATGAATAATTGAGAAATACCACAATCAGCTATCTTGCAGTGCAGGTTGGCATCTAAAAGGATGTTTTCAAGCTTCAAGTCACCGTGGACAATCATCTGAGGTTTACAGGAATGCAAGAAGAATAGAGCACTTGAGATTTCAGCAACAATACGTGCACGGATTTTCCATGGCAACTGAGGAATGCCGCACTTGCTCCAAAGGCGGTCGTGAAGGCTCCCGTTTGGCACGTATTCATAGACAAGACACAATGCATCCGGGCATGCCCCAATCAAAGTCACCAGGTGAGGGTGCCTCACCTTGCTAATGAGGTGGACCTGCCAAAAACAATGTGAAATAACTACCTTCTGCTAAATAACTGCTATTGCTATATGCTCCTAGGTTTTTATAAACACTTAGCACGATAAGTTATGTGATAAACAAGACAAGCAAGCATATACTTGGAATGATTGGCCCACATCATCTCCTGCTTGGTCATAGTGCAAAGAGATAATTTTTGGTTTTTATTATGACAAATGACACAACAAGTAATCTATCTAGATAAATAGAAGAAAAAAAACAAATCCTACATAATTCAACAAGCCCCATAGAGTTTCAAGTGATATGTGGAGCTGCAAAATAACTTTTAGCAGTTTCATTGAGCTATGTATCACTAATATATCAACCAGCATGATAAACAGGGTAACAGAGAGTACCTCTTGCTGGAACTGCATCGAACTCTGAATGATACACGAGTGCAACTTATAAATCATTACACTTCTGTTCATAATCTCTCCTTTATAAACACATCCAAGACCTCGTGGCAGTACTTTTAAGCTGTCTGAGAACTTGCATGTTGCAGCTTTAATATCTGACAAAGTCAATTCTCTAAAGTTGTACAAGTCATCAGCACAAACAGTTGAACTGCAATTTGGTAACATAATGTGGTTATATGCACACCTTTCAACCTGGTCAGTATGTACAAGTTCTAGCTTCTCTCTTTTGGGAATTTCCTGATTGAGTGTTCCTATGGAAGATTGAATCAATTTCAGCTCTGCCACAGCTTCATTCATCCGAAAAGCTATGCTTTTAGCACGTGCATCTAGGATGGCTAGTTTTCTCATCGAAGAGTCCAACCCTTCTGTAGCCTTTTCTTTATTTTCTGCAAGATCTTCATGCTGCTTTTTTGTGGCTGTCAACAAAGCTTCAAGTTCCTCCCGCATTTTCATTTCTTGTTTTTGAGCGAACTCAGAAGCTTTTGCCTGCTCAAGAAGCACAAGCCAGATCAACAAAGGAATGCATATGTAATTTTCACCACATTATTCAAAATCAATGTTAAAGAATCTAAAACTTCCGTTTGGTTTCCCAATAATGTTATACTGCAGAGGAACCGTGCAGTTTAAAATACAAGATAGGATAAGTGGTTTGCATACCCTGGCAATAACACCGGCTACTCTTGACTCTGTATCTTTGCGCTTGAGAAGCTCAACAAAAGCATCCTTCCTTGATCTCTCTGCTTCTAGAATGACCTGCTTGAAATTTTTATCCAAGATTTCCTGACAGATAATACCATCAGTATTTAAATTGAAAAAAAGGATCATCCTTTAATTACAAAATTATCAATGAACATGTCAATGTAGCAGGAGAGCACCTGAGGATATAACACTAATGATTCCATGTCTACAGAAGAACCAGGCTGGAATGTTGAGTTAAATGCAGACTGTGCATTTTGCAAATTTGGTACAATAATATTGCAGAAATGGTTGGCATCAACAAGAGATTCATAATCATTCGGTTGACCATTATCTGAAATGGTGATTTCATAACGATCAGCAGGTGTTTGTGCCTCGTATGAAATGTATCCTTCATCAAGTATGGATTCAGCATTGTTACTAGTAGAGCTGAACCTGATTCTTTTCCTGATCATAACATCATCTTCATTGTAAACTGAGATATTGTTGCCAATGGCTGCAGCTGCTTCTCTGGTCCAAATGTGTCTTCCTCTCCAAACAAACCAGATTTCACAAAATGATGGGGCATTCCTTGCCATAAAAGATGCTTTGCCATAGCTCGCTTTCAACTTGAAGCAACTGCATTACAGGTAGAGAGAGTTCAAATTTTCAGGGACACCCACCCCGAAATAAAACAAAAGAAAGGGAATATAGTGGTCACTATGGGATGTCAATATCCTAGTACATATCATAGGATCCCACAAACACTACGGAACCATCTGCATACATATCATTACAGTTAGATGATCTATTTCTTGGGATCATTATAACCATACATTCCGAACAAAATTGTAAGATTACGTTAGATGATACTCATATCAACAAGTTGATGTGACATGTAATTGACAATGGGTTTAATTGTATTCAAGTTTGCTCACTTTTTACTGAAATTATGTGGATTCATGAGGCATGGTTAAACAAATAATGATGGATCTAGGTGAGTGAGCACGGGAATACTTGACATAAGGTGGTTGAGGACAGGGTTTTCAATTTTGATTTCATCCGAAATTTCGCTCATTTTGGTTCTACCGAAATTCCTGAAAATCAGGATTTTTGGCACTTTTTGGACCGATTTTTTTTTAAATTTTAGCATAATTTAACTGAATTTGATTAAATTTTGACCAAATTCACAGAAATTTGAGAAAAACAAAAAAAAAACGGCCGATATAATCACTTGCCGCGTGGGGGGGGGTCCGGAATTACCAAAATTTCGATCCGAAATTGCAATCCTAGGTGAGGAGCATGTGGTGCATTGTCCAGTTGATGTTGGTTGCAAGATTTTGGTGCTACATCAAGTTGGGGCAGACAATGTTAACATCAAGTTGGGAGATCAAAGTTTCAAAACCATCGAGGTGCTGTTGGAAGATGCCAGTGCTGGAAATTGTTACTAAGAATGGTTACGAGCAATGAAGGGTGTAGAATACACACAAAAAATATCTAGTCTATCGAGCACCTGAGATCAAGTTTTTTTGTTTCTTGTTTTCCTTCATGCTCCATAAGTTGATAAAGAGAGTATTAGATTAATTTGAGTTATTAGTATTATTTCCAATTTCTGTTATGTTCTTGGGCTGAACTTTTCTAGCTTGAAGTAGATACTTGGGGACTAGACTACCTAGTTTTCCAATACTGATAGCTGCTTTGTTCAGTATTGAAATTTTGATGAAGAATACACATGACAACCACAAGAACAGCAAGTTAGAACGGGTATTAGTAACAACGTAATTGGACCCAGAGGCGGATTCACCTCCCGGGCAGCAGGGGCGGATGCCCAGGCTTCACAGCGATGAACCCATATTATCTAGCGCTAATCCTTGGCTGAAACAGATTAATTCCTGGGAAAGATTTGCATGTTATTAATTAAATACGGCAAGCCATGCTGCAGGAGGCGATTGGGCCTTGGGCCTCAGCTGCCTATGGCCTGCCTGCCCCCACAAGTACTAGACTCACTGTCGTTATCAAATCACACGGACATTTACTTGTATTGAACATGTCCATGTAGACACAATATAGGTGTATTAGTGGGTACGTTTCTCTGAATATGAATAGTATTTGTTATTTTCTTCCATGTTCCATTGATATTGATAAAAGCTTTTACCTAGTAAATTTATATTTCAGCGTATTAGTGAATCATCGAATTAAGCTTGGACGTTCTCGTCGTAGTATCCTTTCATCCATAAACATATTTACAAGTATTTTGGGTCACATTTCTATAAAAAAAAATGGTAGAAAATTTTAATGGTGATATATGGAAAATGAACATGTTTTGAGTGTAATAGTTTCAGTTAGACCCGCCTTGGCTTCACAAAACTCTTGGCGCCGCCACTGATTGGACCATCAGCTAGGGGCCAAAGATGAAACTTCAAATCATGGTAGTAGGACCTGCTGTTAGCCATATGCCCGTGACCATTAATAAAGAATGCATAACATGACAGCATGTGGGGACTGAAAACGGCTGGTTTGAAGCAGGTTTGTAAGAACAGGATACACGAATTTTAGCAGCGATATATTTGAACTAACAGTAGAATTCCTTGTGTAGAACAGAGAGTTTGAATTGTTTTATAGAGATGGCACTATCAAGAAGGGTGTTTTGTTAGCACGCAATTGATGAAAATTGAAGTAGTACATACGTATCAGGTGTAGAACCCATGACAAGCTTTGTAATCCCATGATCTTTGACCAAAGTGATAATACCATCATGGATTTGTTCATTCTCCGTGACAAGAAGACTTGCCTGAACCTGTGGCAGAGCAAAAGCCCGATTAATTAGCGTCGCACACCCATAAAAATTGAATCTGTGATGTTTCTCCTAGATAAAAAAAAGGTTGGAGAAGAAGGTGAGTAGCACTTACCTGTGCCCTGTGACAGAAAGTGAGGTAGGTGAGGAGGATCTTGTTCATTTCGTCCTTCTCGGATTTGCGATGCGACAGCACGAGCTCTTCGGTGGCTTGAGCGGCAGGAATCTTGCCTACTGAAGAAGAAGAAGAAGAAGAAGAAGAAGAAGAAGAAGAAGATGTGATGGGTGAGCCGTGAGCGGCGGAGAAGGAAGAATCGAGAAATTAACTCATAAATAAATAAATACTCCAAGAAAGAAAGAAAGAAAGAAGGAATTGAAACACTAGAATCGTACAGAGGGTAGGGATGAGCGGAGAAGGTTGGTGGACGTGCACGAGGACGACTTGGGCGCAGGCGAAGCGGCGGAAGGCCCATCGCAGCAGGCCCAACGTCTTCTCCGGCGACCTCCCGACGGCGACATGGACCCGCGCGTCGACGTTGTCGCGGCGGGGGAAATGCCAGCCGGCACCTCTGTGGATGAAGGAATCCATGGCGGAGCCGGAGGCGGAGGCGGAGGCGGAGGCGGGGCCGGGGCTGGGCGGCGGCGACGGGCTAAGTATCTCCATGGATGGATGGATCGATTGGCTGGGCAATTTGGGTCAATTTTCTCGGTGGGGATTGCAATTGCTAATGGGAGCTTTCCTCCTCAATTAATTGCAGCATGTCAAAGACTTGCGCGCCGGCAAGGCACGCAAATGGCATAAACACATGGATATTCCACAGCATCCACAGTGCTTGCCGTTGACTAGTTCATGGTCAACTCCTGCTCTTTCCTCTCCACTCTGACACGACTCTCAGATTCAGATGAGTCATTTCTTCCTCTATTTTCCCTTTTTAATCCCGATCGATCTTTTTTTTCTTTATGCGACGCTATGCAAAGTTGCAAACCCAACCCCAACCCAACCAATCTACTGGTGGAGTAAAGTTCTCCCTAAATTTAACATCTACACACGAAATAGAAAACTATGATCGATTTTAAAAAAGATCTGAATTGCCAACACGAGACCGATCTGACCGTCGCCATAGGGCTGGTCTAATCAGCAGCATGTGGCTGGTCAAACCGACTGACTCCAACTCTAAATCTAATTTTAACCAGTCTCAGGTTTTCTTATTTGGGTTAAGTTTTTCGAATTCTAATTGATTTCTATCCGAGTAATCCATGAAAGGGTTTTATAGAAGACAAGATCAACCTCTTTATAAGATTCATGACTGGTTCAATTGAGGCAACAATAGACTTCAACACAATTAACCAATTGAATCGCTCTTTTGATTTCGCATCTACTTTTTGTCTAGTTTTTAGCTAGTTTGTTCATCTTCATCAGTTTGTGCTATAAGCCGTGCGTACTCGTTGCGAGAACGCGAATGTTCATCAAACTAGCTCAGTGCCACTTGTATTTTGTAAAATTTAGACTGGCCATTATATACGGCTAGGATGTTCTTGGACTAGTATCTTTTTGCATACTATATAGCTTAAAGAGGCATAGTTCTGCCAAAAGTAAACCTTATCTTCCTCTTCCCCCGCCCCCTACCCAAATGCCCCTAGCCCTTATCTTCATCTGTCCATCTACTTGCAACACAATCACTTTCATCAGAGGCAATCTTGCAAGTGAAGAAGGAAAAGGAAACTTTGCTAATCTTTGGCACGATGGAGTAGAGCCTGGAGAGGCATAGCTCCGCCACCAGGTTCTTGGACAACATCTCCTCCACCCTCTTCTGCTTCCATGGCGTCATCATTGTCCAACGCTGAACCTAAAACCTAAACCCACTGTCGCTGCCCTCCACCAGCCTAGTTCCACTTTGCACACTCCAAGCCCGTCCTCCACTTCCGACGAGAAAAGGTCCCCCATGACAACCTGTTCAGATGCACACAACCCAATGTTGGTATCTTCAAGGCGGTGAGACCCCTCCCCCTCTAGCCACCTAGTCCTCCACGATGCCATGTTTCCTCAGGCATATGGAAAAGGAGAGACCACGAGAGAGGTAACGAGAGAAAGAAAGAGGTAGGGGATGATGTGTGGGGCCCAAATGTCAGTGAGGTGGGAGAGAAGAGATGTAGAATGGGTATTTTGGGCAATTTGAAATACAATAGCTTGCATTTGGATACAATGGTGTCCAGGGTGTAGAAAATGATATATGTATGTAAGAGAGAATTGTAATGGTATGATCCAAATAAGTGAATAGTAATGTTCCAAATAGGTGAATAGTAATGGTAGATCTTTAAATTGTGGAATTCGTAGTGGCACCGATTAAATTAACCATAGATAATACTTGGGAGAAGTTTAGTGGCAAGGAATAATCTCCTTAGAGAAGATGCCAAATTAGAATCCTTCCTTAGAGAAGCATGTAAAATTGGAATCCGGATCCAGAGGTTACCCATCAACTCATCACCGATCATACAGAACTTGATCGAATTAATGTTTGATGGCGACAATTCAATCTCCTTGGTGGTGGAAAGAGAAAAGTACATATACTTAAAATTATTCACTTCTCAACTATCAGGTTTGTCTAAAATTTACCCCTCAACTATAAATTCGGGATAGGAAACACTCCTCAACTATTATAATTATCCACTTTATCCTCCCTAATATCCAAGCTGGGAGAGTTTTCACTTATGTGCACCTACATGACAATCTAGTCGGTGAAAAGATTAATAAAATAGTGGCCCTGTATGTCGTCATCCTCCCGCTCTCCCTTGCCCTACTCTCTCTCATTACTTACCCTCTGTTGTCACTGCGAGCTCAACCTCCTAGGGGATATATACCTCTGCAGCCTCGACCAAGATCTCCACCTCTATGAGATCTTCGCGTCCGCTAGTGTCCTCCTCTACCACAATCTCCAAGATTCATTGTGGTGGTGGCTCCAGTCAAGCTTAGGAGAAAATCCCCTATTTACCCCTAAAAGCTTAGTTGGGCATAAATGACGAAGGAAATATAAACGTATAAATAACAACATGAAACTATAAATAACTTTGCCGGGAATGATAATTCAATATCAGGAAAATTATATAACTTAATCATATTTTCAAATTTAGCTATAAATAATTTAATATAGAGAAAACTATATGTTACAATAATTTTTAGTGGATCAAATAGTGCTAAATCTAATAATATAAATGAAAAAAACAACTTAAATTAGTTAGAAATTGAAAAAAAACTTATTTTAGCCCACGTATGAAAATCTGATTCATTAATTCTGAACGGGTGCTTCTTTCATTGATATAAAATAGAATTTTTCATGTTCTATTCATACTCCATTTGTCTTAATATGATGTGAGTGGTCCAGGAGCATGGTTGGGTAGACTAAGAAGGAATAATGCCCAACAGACGTTGTTCATTGTTTTCCCTAGCTCAAGGCGAGAAACAAAAGAGGAGGGAAGGTGAGCGTCGGTGCTCCGGCGACCAAACGACAGTAAGGAAAGTGGTAGTACGTATCCCACGATGTGACTCGTTCATAAATGGTGGAGGTTGGCAATGAAAAAACCGGAACAAGAGGGATGTAGGGGGGCAACGAGGTAGTCCCGTGATAGATTGAGAAATGACAATGATGAGCTCTAGTGGTGAACACGACCAGGTGAGTGTGTCAAAACTCGTTCCTAAACGAGAGGATTATGTTTTCCTTGAACAAGCAGGAGAAACCGACTAATATTATCTATCGTCTTCCCTAACCAACACAATAAACAAAAGAGAAAGGGAGATGGACGACGGTGCTCCAGTGATCAAACAGTGGTGAGTAAGGTGGTCGAGTGTGTTTGACAATATGACTCATCCATAGATGGTGGCGGTTGGCAACGAAGAAAACCAGAACAATGGGAATGAGGTCGACAACAACATGGTCCTGATAGAGAGAAACAACAACGGTGATCTCTTGTGGTAAACATGACCGAGTGAGTACTTCAAAACGTGCTCCCGAACGAGGAGGTTCTGTTTTTCTTAAATGCGTAAGAGATAGGGAATGCAGGAGAGAGGAGGGACACCAGGGAGAAGAGATGTCGAGGGGGAGGGGGAGCATGTGTAGCGAGGAAGAGATGTGGGGGTGTGCCGGGAGGGAAGGAGGGAGGCGGGAGAGGAGGGGCAACGCCAGGAAAAGAGGGTCTGCGGGGGAGAGGGAGAGATGGGGGCGCCAAGAGGGAGGGAGAGAGGCGGGAAGGAGGAGGGGCAAGGGAGGGAGGGGGGAGCGGACGGATTTGGGGGAGGGGGAGAGATGGGGGCGCCGGGTGGGAGGAGGGGGGGCAAGGGAGGGAGGGGGGAGCGGACGAATTTGGGGGAGGGGGAGAGATGGGGGTGCCGGGTGGGAGGAGGGGGGCGACGGAAGGAAAAAAAGGCGGAAGCCTTAAGTATTTTTTAATTAGGTATAGATAGGCCAGATTTTGGCATACATACATACATACATACATACATACATACATACATACACACATATATATATATATATATATATATATATATATATATTTGAAAACCAGGAAATATTATTAGTAGAAACATAGAACATGAGTTATTTTACAATTGATAGAAGAGAGAGTCTAGTAGGGTAAGCAATATGAGAAATATTTTGACAGCTAATAACAGGATTTGACAGAAGACTTGTTCTAGATTTCCATGCCACCTGAAGCAAATTTTCAGGAATGTCTCTTTGAATTTGGCTCCATAAAGGTCTGAGGCTTCAATGGCCTGGTTCATTGCTGAAGTCTATTTTCTTGATCGTATCCGCTATTACTGAATTATCAGTTAAAAAACTAGTACCTGCAAAGTTGAAGAATTTGGCAATCTCCATAGCAAGTTGCAATGCTGCCAATTCTGCCAGCAAAGAAGATTGAGCCACCTCACTTGTGGCTTTAATAAAAAGAGCATTTGTGTGTTGTCGGCATGTGGAAGAAAATACCAATCTTTGTGAATTGATTCTCCCAAGCTGCATCTATATAATATTTATTGCCCTCCGGAATAGTCTCCATTCTTCTTTTATATACCTCCTCCTGAGGCTCCACCTGCAAATTATGATTTATAGAGAAAAGAGTATATATGAATTTATCATAGCTTCTGCCGCAAAACACACTTGGGTCGGCTCCTTTAAGATGCCCTGAAATTTCAGATCATTCTTGGCCTTCCAAAGCTGCCACACAAGATAATCAAAGATTTATGGAGATCAATTTTATTAGAACCATTTGAGGAAATGTAAGCAATGATGTGAGCCAGGGAAACATTATCAGAGAAAATGTCAGTACTCAGTAGAAAGATTTGCTTCAGAAATTCTCCAGGTTAGTCTGCTAAAGAAACAACCAAAGAAAAGATGGAAATCTGTCTCAGGTTGGTTGCAACTACAGCAATTGGCTGAAATATCAGAAATTCTGTGATTTAACCTTTGCGCTGAAGGCAGAGCTTCTCCAAGCAAAAACTTTGACCTTGGGAGGAGTTTGGTAAGGCATGTTTATTTCCCAAACAAAAATTTTTATGCTTTAACATCGAATGTTTGGACACATGTGTGGAGTATTAAATGTAGGAAAAAAACCAATTACACAGATTGCGTGTAAATTGTGAGACAAATCTTTTAATCCTAATTGTGCCATGATTTAATAATATGGTGCTACAGTAAATATTTGCTAATGACAGATTAATTAGGCTTAATAAATTTGTCTCGTAGTTTCCTGGCGAAATATGTAATTAATGTAATTTATTTTGTTATTAGACTACATTTAATACTTCAAATGTGTATCCGTATATCTGATTTGACAACCAAATCTAAAATTTTTCCCCGGCTAAACAAGGCCTAATTGAGTTGTGCCTAAACCCTAGGCTACAGCGAAACCAGCCCGTACTAATTGTTTGGGCAGCAGACGTACACGTTGTTCCGTTTGAATTTAACTACGACGAAGATAAAGCTAGGGTACGCAAAATGATAAAATTATTAACATGTGATTAATTGATTTTTAATCATTACAAATTTAAAAAAATAGATTTATTTGATATTTTAAATTAATGTTTGAAAAACACGCTAATGGAAATCGAGGAAAAAATCCGTATCTTTTAGCTACAAAAGAACACCACCGGGTTAGAGCAAGTTTAATAGTATAACCAACTGCTAGCTTCAAATCATCTATAGCCAATGTAATAGCCAATTCATACAACTAGGAAAGTAGCCCGCGCGAATGCGCGGGCATGCGTCGTACACTATGTTTGAGACACTTATAAGAGTGAAATATTAACTGGAGAACATATGCCACAATTTTTCTATTGTTTTCATTGGCATTAATTGTTTTTATAATTTTATAACCTATTAGCTTTATATTACATCTTATTTAAGCGATATTTATAAGCAACTATTTATAATCTTCTTCATCATTTGAAAAGAAGGTAGACTAATTTTCTTTAGAAAACATGTCACCGAAAGTAAAAGTAAGGTAAAGTAAAAGTAAGGTTTTTTTCTAAATGCATATATATTATCATGATTTATTAGAGGATGAATTGGGTGGGACATGAAGCTCCACTAAATTCTATATAGCCTAATATGATTGATGTAGTTTGAGAGGCTGTCCATCCATAAATATTTTATGTACAGTGGGTAAGAGGTTATACGCAACCTAACATGAATACAATAATGATAAGATATTTATATATTTTGTTTAATATTTTTAATAAAATGAATGGTCAAACATTATTAAAAAAAGAAGGAAGTAATATATTTTTATCTTTCTCTTACATGGAATATCCTAATTCCATATTTCTTTTGCAATCATACTTGGGAAAATATGTAGTGATGTGGACAAATCTCATGCGTTCATTTTTGATCCAATGGTGATTTTCAGGTTTCCACTACGTATGTTGTTTGTACTGTATATTTTTTCCATCATACTATACGTAGGTAAGTTTGTTTTGGGTTTTGGGCTATAACGTTTTTCCCCCGTGAACTGTATGTACGTGGTGTACTTTACGTACATACTTATTTTCTATCATACATTTTCCCGGTGAACTTTACGAAAGCATGCATTTTTTTTCTGCATACGTGGATGGAGATTAGGGAGTAGAGATCACTTTTTTAGTTTTTTTAAGTATGATAATATAATGGTCTAAAATATTGGGTCCATCAACGTAAGTAAAAATAAATATCTATAATTTTCTCTAATTAATTAGAGTGTCATGTTGTGATGTAGGAATGTTTGCAGAGTACCACGTGATGGATACGTAGCGTTTGTAAAAAGTTTAATAAACTTTTAGTATATAATAGATACATGGATTATAATATGTTAGTTATCTAATGTTTGATTTTAATTAATATTAAACTTTGCTAGGTAGAAAATTAAAAGATGAAAGTATATATAACAGATGATAGGAGATAGATGGAGGGACTGACGTACCAATGTTACTTAGGTGATGATGGAGTGAGGGTGCCTAGGAGGTGGTGGGGTAGGGGTGGGATGGGATTTATGGATGGGTTGTTGGATTTTGTTTAAAGATGGATCTAATGGTGAAAAATAATAGATCCACTGTATTAATTAAAAATTTAAGGTCGGATGTTTTCTTTTTTTCTTGGAATTTCTTTGATTTCTCTAATTTATTAAAGTGTCGAGTGACGATTTAGGAGTGTTTGTAGTGCATACGTATTTTCTATCGTACGTTTTCCATGTGAACTTTACGAACATACATATTTTATCTCTTACGCGGCTGGGGATTAGGAAGGATATATTACTTTTTTATTTTTTAAAGTATGATAATCTAATGGTCTAAAATATTGGGTCGGTCAATTTAACTAAAAATAAATACATTTTTCTTAGAATATCTATGATTTTCTCTAATTCATTGGTGTGTCATGTAGTGATATAGGTGCGTTTATGGAATACCGCGTGACGGATTGGTGGCGTTTGTAGAAGGTTTAATAAACTTTTAATTTATAATAGATAGATAGATTATAAGCTGTTAGTTATTTAATGTTTGATTTTATTTAATCTTAAACTTATAATATAATATGTTAGTTATATAATGTTTGATTTTATTTAATCTTAAATTTTGCTGGGTAGAAACAAAAAGATGGAAAGAGTAATCGATGATAGGAGATAGGAGACAGAGGGAGGGACGGACGCACGAATGTTAAGTAGGTGATGACGGGGAGAGGATGCCAAGGAGGTGGTGGGTTAGGGGTGGGATTGGATTTATGGATGGGTTGATAGATCTAATGATGAAAATTTCTTCGACTTCTCTATTTAGTAGAACATTTGTAAAAAGTATAATGGATTTTTTTATATAATAGATTTAAAAAATACAACAGGATCACAAATTAGATACTCTCTCTATCCCATAATATAAATCGTGGTGAAAGTTGGCATGGTCATCAAAACTAAGTTTTAGCTTATAATTTTTCATATACTATAAGGTTAATAGTAACAAAATTATAACCATATGAAAGTAATTTTAAATTTCAATCTAATGATATATTTTTAACAAATAAAATTTATTTTATATTATACAAAGTGTTAGTCTTAAAATATGTGCGCGCCTTATATTGTGGGATAGTGGGAGTATATTTTCTTTTACAAAATTAAAAGATGGTTTAAAGAATGTTGATTGGATATTTTAAATTTTTTTATTATATATCTTAATTTTACTACATATTTATATTTGTGAAGTAATATATTTTATTTTTATATTATAAAAAATAAAATGGACCGTTAATTTTTTTCCTCCGGGCAGCAGAAGGAAAGCTTCGTTTTAAACAGTAATGTACGTACTCAAATTTTTGTTTCCAATCATACGTACGTACCTACGTAGGGGACAGCAGTCATGTTTGTATCATATATACGGTCGGAGGAAGTTATTATTTTTTAATAATAAATTTAATCTAATGGTGTAAAATAATGGGTCCACAAATTAAGCGAAAATCAACGGTACGGTTAGGACGGGTCCACCAATTTAAGTGAAAATCAACGGTGAGATTAGATAGTGCCATGTGACGGCTTAAGAACGTTTATAGGAGTGACACATGGCAGCGTTAGAGCGTTTGTAAGAAGTTTAATGGACTTTTAGTATATAATAGAAGATAGATAGATATAGTTGCTTACTGTATTATTAATATCTAGTCCTACCTATCATATGCACATTATGTTTTGGAGCTGGCTATAAATTTGTAGCCTGTTGCTGCTCTATCTCTTTCTTTATTTTTTTAAAATATGTTTATAGCTGGCTTATAGTTTTTATTGTACCTGTATGTAAAGATGCTCAAGCACGAGCTGCAGCGCAGGTGGTCTGTGAGAAGTAGCAGCAGATGAGGAGCGGGCCCTACGTTATCTCGGAGCGTGGACACGACTACGCCACGTCGGATAGCACATCATGATCGGCAGCTAACCCAACGTAGCCGCAGGCTGGAGCTGTGTTGGAAAGGGAGAGTGATGAATCCATGAACGAACCATTAGCAGCTAGCTAGGTCGCGGGCTGAGGGCTGACTAATCATGGAGCAAGCAGCGAAGGCCACCATCTCACTGTCGCCGCCGAGTTACGCTGGATGTTGCATGGCAGCATGTCCCTACCGATCAACGCGGCACCTGCGCAGAGGAGGCGGCTGCTCTGCTCGCTCCATCTCCTCCCTCCGGCATGCCCCTTCTGCTCGTGTTTACGCCGCAGCCGCAGCCGCAGCCACGCCGGAGTCCAAGTCGACGAAAGAGAATGACCTCGTCTTCATCGCGGGAGCCACCGGAAAGGTGGGATCCCGAGCTGTAAGGTACACCTCCTCCTCCTCGATCCGTTCGTCCTCCAGGCCGGCTAGCCAGTCATCCCTCGATCGATCTGTCCCTGGAAAAATATACTCCAGTATGTTAATTACTGCAGAGACACGTACGCTTGTATGCGCTTGCAGGGAGTTCATCAAGCTTGGCTTCCGTGTCCGCGCCGGCGTTAGAAGTGCACAGAGAGCATCGTCCCTTGTGCAGGTAACAATAATCCATGAATCTTGCTACCAGCTACACCTATGTAAATGTTGGAGTACAGTACTTTTCATTTATACATCTTGACCATACATACGATCGACATTTCAATTTCAGAGTGTTGAGCAACTGAAAGTCGATGACGATGCAACTTCGCGTGAGTCGTCGGCATAGATATATTAATTCGAGTTTCCGGTTAACTGTTTGTGTCTGAACTGGATCAATAATCTCTAGACCAGCCGCAGAAAGGCTCGAGATCGTAGAATGCGACCTGGAGAAGCAGGCGCAGTCAGACATCGTGTCGGCCATTGGCAACGCGGCGATTGTGGTGTGCTCCATCGGCGCCAGCGAGAAGGACATCCTGGATGTAACGGGCCCCTACCGTATCGACTACATGGCCACCAACAACCTCGTGCAGGCTGGTATGTATATATAATATACTCTAGCTAGCTTAATTAGCTTTAATTTGTTCATCATTAATATTACTCTATAAGCAGAAACAATTAATAATTGAAACTCATTAACTACGTACATCATTGACGTACGTGCGCCAGCAACTGCTGCAAAGGTTGAGCACTTCATCCTGGTTACATCCCTGGGCACAAACAGGATTGGCTTCCCTGCTTTTCTTCTCAAGTAAGCTAGATCGATGTGTAATTAATTAATTTCCTTGTTCGATATAATTATTGGCCCTGTTTTAGTTTGAGGAAGAAAAAAAGAGATCGATATGTATGCATATATATGTAGACAGCCCAGCCCTTTAGGACGTACAAAAACGAAATGAAATTTATGATGCATATGCACGCATGGTTACAGCTTGTTTTGGGGGGTTCTGTGCTGGAAAAGGCGAGCTGAAGAAGCGCTCATCGGCAGCGGCCTTCCTTACACGGTACGCTTTCTTTAAGATAATAAAAATGGTTTGCATCTTCAGCTTCTACCAATGAGTTTAGGTGTATTGTCAGGTATATATACACTATATATATGCAATTAATTAATGGGTTAATTAGATCCATGCTATTAAAAATATGCTGATTTTGAAATATACCATTAGTATTCAAGTATTTTGAACCATGCCATTATAATTTTATACATATTTGATATATGCCACTATTTATCACTTAGATGCATTTAAAAAAAAATTGGACAAAATTGCCCTTCTTCTTCCTTCCTCCACTTCTTCTCCCTTCTTCCTGTTCGACGGCAGCGGTGGAGCGGCCCGGCGGCAAGTGGCGGCGGCAGGAGCGGCGGTGCGGCGGGCGGCGGCGAGCGGTGGCGGCGACGGCAGCAGCAGGCAGCGGCGCGACGACAAGCGGCCTCTTCACCGTCAATCTTGCCGGCCTCTTGAAACCAGCCACGCACCATGACAGTGTCACCATCCCCGGCGTTCAACTGCTCCCAATTCCCCACCTCACACACTGCTGAAAGACGCGGCGGCGGATGGACTTGGGGTCGTCGTCCCAGGGGTAGTCGTGTTCGAGCTGGAGGATGGACTTGGCGGAGCGGCCCGGCGGCAAGCGGCGGCAGCAGCAAGGAGCGGCGGTGATGACAGCAGCAGCGAGCAGCGGCGCGGCGGCGAGTGGCCGCAGCAGCAGCGGCGGAGCAAGAAGCAACAAGAAGAGGGGGTAGAAGATGAGGGTAATTTCGTCCAATAAATACAAAATACGTATCTTAATGGCATCGTTACAAATATGTAAATATTAATGGTATATTTTAAAACCAGTAAAATTTTAATAGCATAGATCTAATTAATTACTATATAATTTCTCATCAGATCGTCCGACCTGGTGGCATGGAGAGGCCAACGGACGCTTTCAAGGAGACGCACAACCTGGTGGTGGCAGTTGAGGACACCTACGTCGGTGGACTCGTTTCCAACCTTCAGGTGGCGGAGCTCATCGCGTGCATCGCCAGCAACAGGAGAACGGCCTACTGCAAGGTGGTCGAAGCGATCGCAGAGACCACCGCGCCATTGCTGCCCACGGAGGATCAGCTCGCCAACATACCTTCAAAGCGGGTATACCCATGCCTATTATTAGCATTTAATTTCTCCATTTCATATTATAATTTGATATTTTTCACAGTCAATATTTTTTATTTTAAGCTCAATCAACTTTATTAGAAAAATATAGCAACATTTTCGATAAAAAATCATATATTATCGGAATATAATTTAATGTTAGTTTCGACGAAACTAAGGCTGCATTTTTTCGCTTAGATTTGAGAGAGATTTTTCAATGCACGCAAAACGAGAAAGATTATTAGTATATGATTAATTAAGTAAATAATTATAAACTTGAAAAATAGATTTATTTAATTTTTTTAAACAACTTTTGTATATAATTTTTTTTTGCAAAAAAACACCATTGAACAGTTTGAAAAATGTGCTAACAAAAAAAATAAGCAAGTTAAAGTTTGGAGTTGATGAAAATAATAATCCTAAGTTGATGTTGCTATTTTTTTAAAAAAAAATTTAGTTAACTCAAGTAAGTTTAACTTAAAAAAATTAAACCGACTTATAATATTTTTATTATATACATATGAAATAATGTGTTAAATTGATGGCATATGTATACCCATATGTGCAGCAACCTCCGCCCGAACCTGAGGTAGTTCAGCAGGGAGAGACCCCTCCAAAACCGATCCAGCAAAGCCAACGACCACTCTCACCCTACACGGCGTAAGTATAACGTGCACCTACATATACAGTACATTCTACTCCCTAAATTAATCCTATTTTTTCTATAAAAAAACTAGTGTAGAAACTTTTTCCCTTTTAGAGATGGTTGCCAAGAGCATGCTCATAATCAGGACTGAAACAAAATATCTATCTATCTATCTATCTATCTATCTATTATCTATTATCTATCTTCTATTATATAAGTCCATTAACTTTCTACAAATGCTCCTAAATCGCCACGTGACACTTTAAAATTTAAAAAAATTCTTTAAAATTCTGAAAAAAAAACATCTAACCATTGATTTTTATTAAATCTGGTGGACCCATTATTTATAACCATTAGATTTATCTTTGAGAAAAAAAACATCTCCTAACCCGGGTCCACCTGGCATGTAGGTACGTACATTCCTGTACGTACGTCTCCCCATGTTCCCTCAAATCCTTGGTTCCTCCTCTTTTTTATCACAAAATATAACCTGAGAAGTTAGGCTTAACCAGTGACACATGTGTGAGGGAAGTACTACTATACATGCATGGCTTTTTTGCTATTAGACATGCATGTCTTTTTTCTCTCTTCTTATAAAGTTTTCTCACAAATTACTTGTCCGATCAACAATTAGATTACACCATCGTATTCGTTGCAATTAAATCTTTACATCAAAGATCTTACACGATTATATTACGATGAAAAAATATTTATGTTTGTAAATTAATTTTATTATATACGTAAGTTACTTTTATCATATATATAAATTACTTTTAGATTTGACTAAATTACTTCTTATACATTCATAATACTCTAAATTGATTATTTTTATTATTGTTTTAAGTTAATTTAATAATTTATGGACTTTAAATTTAATTTTTACATAGACCATATTTTTCTCTCTACAGCAAATTTACTTCTAATGTTGTAACAACTTATTTTCATTTTGTGCTAAGTTATTTTTATGATTGATGTAAATTACTTTTAGACTTTATTAAATTTATTTTTAGACTTTATTAAATTTACTTTCATAAATGCATTTACTTAAAAATATTCTCTACGCTTTACTTGTGAATTTACTCTACTTACTGTTTCATTTCAACTCAGTCACAAATGTAATTACTTCTACTACAAAAAGTTACTCCTGTTAGATAGCTAAGTTATTTCTACAATTTCAATGAATTGCTTTTAAATTAATAAATTGTTTGAATATATTCAACGTGCATCTTGTTTTCTCACATGTTTTATATAGAGTACAATGATGCAAATAGATCTTGAAAACAATATGTGATTTAAAATATATAAGTTATTAAAGAGGTTAAATCTAAAAGTAATTTATATATATGATAAACGTAACCTACATATATATTAAAATTAATTTACAATATAGATATTTTTTTCAGAATATAATCATGTAAAATCTTATTGTAAAGATTTAATTATAACAACACAACGGTATAATCGAATTATGGATCGGATAAGTAATTTGAGAGAAAATTCTATAAGAAGAAAAAGAAAAGCATGCACTATTGAGTCTAGTAGTAGCAACTAAAGTGAGGTCGCAGAATATTATGCCTAACTAGCGATGGTTTTGTCATAGTCACGTCCCTTTTTTTTATCTAATCATTCTCTTATTTTTATGCCTTACTCTCTCCGTTTCAGGTTATAAGATGTTTTGACTTTGGTCAAAATTAAACTGCTTCAAATTTGACAAAGTTTATAGACAAATATAGTAATATTTACATTACCAAATTAGTTTTCTTAAATTAATAATTAAATATATTTTATAATAACTTTATCTTGGTTCGAAAATATTACTATTCTTTTCTATAAATTTGATTAAACTTAAAGCAGTTTGACTTTGACTAAAGTCAAAACATCTTATAAGTTGAAATGTAGGGAGTATTAGTTAGAAAACCAAAAATTTTGCGATTTTGCTAAATATTTATTTACAGATTTTTTTTTGGCTAAAAATCACTCGGTATTTTTTACCGTCCGATTCATTGATGATTTCTGTGCTTCGTTATTAGCCGCACAGTTTCTTTGCGTGTCCTCTTTCCTTTTCCCTGTGTTGTATGCACATATTTATTCGTTCACTACCCGTGATTGGTTGGCTATCGTTTGAGAGATAGAAGATGCATATTCTCTATTTACTAGCTGCTATATGACTATGCGAATGGCTTCTGCTGTTCTTTTGTGAGACTAGCATACTACTTTTATATATATATATATATATATATATATATATATATATATATATATATATATATATATATATATATAAAGTTACATATCAGTTACACTATAATTATATTATATTTCTACCTTAGTTGCATTTGTATGATTTTAGTGGAAAAATCTGTCGAGCGATACATAGATAGACCAAAAATTTTGTGTTAAATAATTGAGCAACTATAACATATAAATCATAAAACTAATTTTTATCTACTTACATCTTTAAATTATTTATGAATAAATTTAGACTTGAAGACCAAACTTCACTATAATTCAACTTTGAATGTCATTTTGGGTTATACTTTTTGATTTTTGAGTGCCATCAAGCAATTATTAAAAAAATAAAATATAATAATAATAACAATATAGATTTCATTATCGTAAACAACTTCATAATAGTCAAATTAGATCTATAATCATTAAAGTAAAATGATAACTATGAGTAATGTTCCCAAAGTATATTAGTTAGAAATCATAAGTTATGGCTGGAAATAAGCAACTATAACATCTAAACCATACAACTGATATTTTATATCATCTAAATCATACATATAATATTTGATCCACTTATGTCTTTAGATTATTTTACGTTCAAAGACTCATATCCAGTGTAATTTAACTTTGAAAAGAATTATGTCACTTTCGGGAGGTGTATTTTCTGAATTCTGTGTGCCATTCAAACAATTTAAAATTATAAAAAGATAGTGATTTAGATTTTATCATCCTACATAACTTTATAATTATTAAATTAGACCTATAGTGATAAAATTTGAATTAACCTAACTCTGAGTAATAATGAAAAATTACTCCCAAATTCTAACATTATAATAAGTCAAAATAATATTATTAGATTTGTAGTGTTCATATTTTGAATATCTACTATGAATATGAATATACCATAAGAATAGATGAGTAAAAACTTTTATTCTATTTTTATTTAATAAAGTAATAGCAACTAAGATACTATTACCCGTGAAAAAAATATAATTATCTGCAAGCGTACATTCTCCCCTTCGGCTCTCTCTTCCTCTCCTCTCTCATTCAATTCCTCCGTGTTCTAATTTTTAACTAATTAATAAAAGCTATCAATATTTAGAAAGAAAAATGATTATAATTCTTAAGTGATATCCTATTTTTATTTTGTGAATTATTGTTTTATTTATAGTTAAGTAAATAATTTAAGATCCACATTACCACTTATTTCTGCATAAAATAAAAACACGTCATTTGAACATAGACACCTATGCTTTTGCATGGTAACCAAATAGCAAAAAGAACATAACATTATCACAAGTACATGCTCTGTAGCGCACTTAAAATGTCACGTTTCCGTCTTAAACAAAAATAAAATCATAGATATTGTAAAGAAAAAATCATCTGCCTTGTGTTATGTCTTAAAAATTAAAAAAAAGATATTAGAAATGTGAGAAAAAAGTTGGATCATCGGTTTTCACTTAATATCATTTAGAGAAAAAAACCACCCCTCCGCTTCAGCCTCCCCCACACATGGACACAATACAATACTACATGTCTCCTCCCTGTCCTTTTATAGTTTGCAATAATAAAAAATATTAAAATATGCATAATTTTTAAGATACTCATATGATTTCTAATCTAACTATTGTTGTATTCACAATTAAACCAACGATATGAAGATCCATAACGCCTAAATTTTGAACTGGTATAAAATAAAATAGGAAACAAAAAATGTCAATAAGGACTAAATTGAACTATTTGGAGAAAATTTAATAAGTTCGTAAAAGCATTTGTGCTTAATTTTTACTAAAATTGGACCAACCATTGCATGTCCCATTTTTATAACAATTTGTAAATGCTTAGTTTCTCGATATACTATTGCATATATAAGCCACGCTAAGGTTGTTGTATATAGTTTGTTGAAAAGTTATATTTCTTACTATTAAATTTAATTTTTTGGATTCATGTTAACAAGGTATTTTCTTTGAAAAAGAGAAAGTATATACCGCAAATATCACAAGGAAGGAGGTATACGACATCTCTTTGTTAATTTATATGCATGTATGTAACAACTTGTGTCAATCTGAACCAACTAAGTAGGACTAGCTTACAAATAATACACATTATTAACAATAATAGTTCTTTAGGGTTTTAAAAAAAGCCCCTATGAATTTAATTAAACAAGATAAAACACCTTAGTTTTAAGTGCATTTACACTTAGTTTGTTAGACACGTTTATCAAATGTTATATATTTTAAATGCTAACAAATAGTTTGGAAAAATTATCTAAGCAATACCAATGAAGAAAATTCATAGAGAAATAATACTTTTGAAATATGGCATCTTACAATGGGTTGATATTCCGCCTATATAAATTTTTCAAACACAATCAATAATATACATGTCCGCACGAATGCACGGGCTATCTTCCTAGTTGCAATTAATAGTTAAAAAAATGTTTTTTACAAAACATATTTAGGGTGAAACATTGTCTGACTTTTAATATAATTTTGATTGAACCATTATTATGAATGTTTGCATGCGGGTGATTTTTTTTCTTGAAATATTCTTTGATTCTACTCTAAACCTGTTTCTGTCAATAATTTATTTGGGATTGTTTTCATAGTGGTTATGATTTTCTTCTAATTACCCTTCTAACATATAAATTGTAAAGTAGAAATACTTGAAATCGTACAGTCCTGAATTTATGAGAATTTATTGTAGTGGAATAATGGAGTTTCTAAACTTTAAATACTATTTGTTTTTTTTGTATATATAGTATTTTCTCTGTTTTTTAATATATAACACCATTGATTTTTTAGACTATTCATCTTATTAAACACAATTAACTAATGCTATGAGAGAGTATATGTATGAAGAGTGCCGCCATTTATAGATGGATTTGTTCGGTTTGTTTGGTTTGTTTGCACATATGTGGATTAATTTAGTTTTGAATATTTGTAAAGTTGTATATTTGATTTCATAATATATACGAAGATTTTTAGAAATTTCTAAGGTTGTTTGGATCACGTGTAAATGATGTAAATGAGGTAGATATTTGAACTAATGACATAATTGTAAGCACATATTATTTTACATGTAAGAACATATAATTGGATCATGCCACTACAAATATGCCATTTTAGATAAATACCATTACTATTCACAATATCGGCTCATGGCACTGAAACATGGGGAAATTGGAATAGTGCCACTCCATCATGTTTTCCGTCAAAAATTTCCGTTAGCCCTAACTGCACATTGGACCTAGCTAGCTGTCAGTTCCATCTTCCCCTCACTCCCCTCTCTTCTCTTTCCCCCTTCCTCTCTCTTCACCACCGTCGTCGACCACCACTGTCGCAACCACCATCATCGACTACCTCTGCTGTGGGAGGCCTCGGGAGCCGCCACAACCACCACCACGGTCCTTGATGCCATCCGCGACAGGAGGCTTGGGAGCAGCCATCCTCGACCCCATCCATGCAGGAGGGCTCGGGAGCTGCCACCGCCATCATCGTCGTTGTCCTCGTAGTAGTTGCGGGGATGCATGGAGGAAGAGATAGGGAAGAAAGAAGAGGGAGGATGGTGGAAGATGGAAGTGATATGTGCTCCCCACGTCTAGGGGTCTGACGGAAAACATGATGGAGTGGCACTGTTCCAATTTTCCCCAATTTCACTGGCATGTAGCCGATATCGTGAATAGTAGTGTCATTTATCTAAAATAACATATTTGTAGCGGCATGATCCAATTAACCCTAGTCAATATATGGATGTAAAAACTATTAATTTAATTGTGAAGCTAGACTACAACCATTCAAATGGATCTTATCAAGGTGTTTAAAAGTGTGCATACAAATTATATTAGCCGTTTTTTGACTTGAAGTCCAGCAAAGGAAAAACAGGCTAAGTGCCCTAGCTAGATTACTTAACATTTTCTATCATCAATCATACCATCAACCCTCTTATGGCCTCTAAATATAGGATTAGGCTTATTGGTTTCAAGTTTTAAGTTAAAGTTTTAGCTTATATATGATTTATAATTAGTGGATTTAAAGTTCTAAGTTTAACGGTGGAGTCATACATCTGTCTTACATAAGCTAAAAAAAGTTTCTCCAACCAAGCTTTTGATTTAATAGTATAAGTTTGGCTTATGGCTTTAAAAAAACCAAAATAATTGCTTGTTTGTTTAGGTTTAAACTTTTTGGCTCATAATAAATTGGCTTATAAATCTAAACAATAGGCCCTTAGCTAGGACCAAGCATCCATTGAGTTTATAGATTTTGATTGCACATGTGATCTCTGTTCACACCAAGTCGATGAGATGCACGGATGCATGCAAGCGCCTCAAACATTTATGCCATAATTTTTATGGAAGGATATGTTTAACCTATAACTCATCAATAGAGATAATCTATGCTCTAATTGGTTCACACGATGCTACCATTTGCACATATACCGAGCAAGACATCTACCCCTTCCAGTCCACATTTTGGACAATGATATGATATCTAAAATATATAATATATACAATAAATTATTTTTTCTCTTTTTATTATAGTTCGCTGTAAGATAAATCTATATATATATTGTTCTAATAACTCTAAATTAAATATTATTTGAGTTATTGATAGTAAAAGATATGAAAGTTACCTAACCTTTTTCAAAATTTCAGAGGGAGTAAAATGCTAAATTAAATTATTTACTATAAATTTGTCATAGTAGCTTGTGATTATAAATGCCTCACACAGTCACATGATTGCAATGAATACTGAATTAAGCATTGATTACAATTTACAAGTTTGGTAGTTTCTTCACACTTCTTTCCCTAATAATTCCTACCGTTTCTTATTTTTCTTCTCTAATTGTAAGATCATTTATGGATTTTTGGTGTGCATATGTACGCATATAGATCATTCACAACTGTGTGGCTATCTAACTAGCATAAAAAACGATGCATGATTTGCTTGGAGAGAGTTGGGCATGTACGGGAGGCAGTCAGGAGGCGGTACGTACAGACTCATACATATATAATATACTAGGTGAAACCCAGCGCATTGCTGCGGGAATTTAGTATAATAACAATAAAAAAAATAATATGTAAAATAGCTAGATAATATTAGATTAAGTAAATTAATGTGGTTTATGATAATTTAAATTTAAATAGTATGTAGAATGGTGATTCAAACGTAAAAAGTAAGGTAGAATGACTTTATGGAAGAAGAAAAATAGGAAGATAGTTTGGACCGTAGATTAATCATCTAAAGACTAAAAACAATTGATATAATATGACTTAATTAGAGGGAAAAAGGAGAAAGATAATTTGTACCATAGATTAATCATTTAAGCACTAACAAGTAAGGATGAACTATATAAGTATATAGGATATCATAAAACATAATAAAGATATACTTTGAAACATTATGTGAATTATGTTGGATGATAATTTAACATGTTTGTATTTGAAAAGCTCTTAAATTATAAAAACTATAAAGATATAGCATGTTTACATGATGTTTAAATGTGATGATTGTTAGTGGATGATGATGTGACATCTTGTTAATTAGTGGACTAGTGGATGATATGCGATATCTTTGCATGTTAAGCTTAAGGAGTTAGTGGAGGATAACTTAGTAAGATAGGATACCTACAGGAGGCAGGGTTTAAGGAATTTATTTTTTAAGATTGATCTAATGGTTGATACTAATGGGTCCACCGATTTAAATGAAAATCAATGGTTAGATTCTTTAGTTGCCACATGACAGTTTGAGAGTGTTTTGAGGAGTACCATGTGACGGCTTGAGAGCGTTTTTAGGAAGTTTAATGGATTTTTAGTATATAATAATAGGTAGATTGGGGTGCTAATAGATAGATAGATATATTAATTATATTATACTCTCTCTCCACTGTTCACAGAGAAAACGTTCGATCGCTTCAATATCGAAATCCTAACTCATTAGCTTTGTACTGATTTTGCCATAACTTCAGATTACCTGTTGGCAATATATAGCTTTGTGCTGATGATTTTGGCCGGTCTGGCATGGCTACAGATTTGTGGACCTGAAGCCTCCAAGCTCGCCATCGCCGTGCCCACCATCAGCAGCAGCTCCTGCTCCTACTTCTACAGATACCGCTGCGGCAGGTTCATCGTCAACGTTGAACTCCAGCGCCACCGGCACCCCCATCAGCGTGGATCAACCGAAGCAGCAGCAGAGGCCTCTTTCACCGTACACTAGGTACTATATATACTTAAGACTAATTGATTAATTGATGCCATTTCATTTTTGGTGTTGTCTATTAATGAATTGGTTAATTAATTTGTTGAATGCACGGTGCACCGTGGATGTAATGATTTGTTCTAAGATATGAGGAGCTGAAGCCACCCAGCTCGCCGTCACCGACGCCGCCATCAGCAGCTTCATCGGCTTCTGTTTCTGCTTCTCCTGATACACCTCCTGCAGCAGCAGCTTCATCGGCGGCGTTGGACTCCAGCGCCAACGGCACTCCCATCACCGGCGATCAACTGAATCAGCAGCAGAGTCCTCTTTCACCATACACAAGGTGCGTACTGTACGACTATATATGTATATACATGCTTGTCCATTCTTGTACTAATTCGATCTTTTTGTGAATGCATTATTCAAGGTACGAGGAACTCAAGCCTCCAAGCTCGCCAACCCCATCTACCCCCAAACTATAGAAGCAAGATAGTTAGCATATAAGGCTATATTCGTTTTTTGCCTTGGCCAATCATCACTCAAGATCCAGTTATCCACTACTAGTTAATTACCTTCATCCAGGAAAAGCGACTTGTATTTTTCATGTCCAAATTCAAAAAAAACAAAGAGTAGTATTGGAATTGGAAGTCAACAAATTAATTCTCTCTAAGTCTTACAATGTTTGTGCACCAAGACCCAGGAATAATTTAAACGGCATCAATCAATATGACATGCACAATATGCACACATTATCCCACAATGCATGCATCAATTTAAAACACAATGCACAATTACACCCTTAGCATGCACATATTTTCCCATGCTGTATTAATTTAATTGTACTCCGATGAAATCCTTGTCCATGCAGTTATATGATGATCAAATTGAGAAAATTTGGTTTTCAATATATGATGATCAATTTGGGCAAGAGTGAGTAAGTCTTAACCATAAATACTCCATCCATCCCATTTTAAACATCACATAAGCAAAGAACACAAAGATCATGGACAACTAAACCTTTATCATTCTGTAATTAATTCTCATCAGTTATAAGAGCATCTCCAATAGCCTCTCCAAATCGGACTCTCCAAACACCCATATAGCCAACTCTCCATCTTATTTGGCTAGTCAAACTACTTACTCGCTCCAACAGCCTCTCCATCTACCCACTCTATTTTAAGTCTATCACAGTGGGTCCCCACATGTCAGTCGCTGCTTCTTCTTCCTCCTCTCCCCTCCTTCCTCTTTCTCCCGCAGGTATCACCGAGCGCCTCTTCGGCGACGGCGAAGGTGGAACTGTGCGCACGCGAGGCAAAGGCATCGGAGGCGGCAAGGGGGAAGGGGGTGGGAGAAATCCGTGTGCGCGAGGTGGGCTCGTGCAGCAAGTAGACGACGACGATGAAAGGGGAGAAGCAGGCGGCGGCAAATCCGTGCACATGCGAGTCGACGGCGACGGCGAGGGATGACGAAGACTACGGCGACGGCGAAAGGGGAAGCCGGCCCCACTGCCGCCTCATTTCCTATCTCGCTAGCGCCACCACTCCCTTCACGCCGCCTTGTCTCCCTTCTCCCACCTCGACACCGTCGTCAGGCTGCGAGGTGACAGGTTGCAGCGAGTGGCGGGGCGGGCGGAGGCGGGGTAACGGCTGCGGTGAGCGGAGGCGGCGGGCTGTAGCGAGCGGAGGCCGGCGGCTGCGGCGGCAGGGCGGCCAGAGGATGATGCTATGGCAGGCTGCGGCGAGCGGCGGGGCGGGCACCGTCTTCACCTGCCATAGCAGTGCTCCTCCCCGTGCTCCTCGCCTGGTTGCCTGTGCTCGAGGGGTGGGAAAGAGACGGATGCGAGAGAGAGAGAGGGGGGGTATGGAGGAGACTGTCAGTGTGGGGCCCACCATTGGCCAGCCAAATTTAGCCAGTGAGGAGGAGGGTTTGGCGGCCAGTGAGTTGGAGAGGCTGTTGGAGCATGTTTTTTGGGTAGAATAGCCAAAATTTAACTTGGAGAGTCAATGGGAGAGGCTGTTGGAGATGTTGTACTACGTTGTTTCGTATCCCATGGATTACATCAAGTTTTAAATATTGCATGTAGTTGACCAATAGAAATTAATCTTGGTTGGTTGCATGCGGCGTATTCAATGATGCTCATTTACTCTTTTTGCACAAATAAATAAAGATGTGTTTGTTAGAGGATGATCATTTTGGGAAGATCTCAAGAACCTTACGTGCTGATCAAATTAGGATAGAGGGAGTACCAAATTTCAGGAACCAAAAGGCTTTCTTCTTCCATGCATCAAATTCAGATATACATTTCCAGTCCTAGTTCAGCTACAACGCTCTTCGCGGGAGCGATTCCTCGGACAGCGGGGAGTGGAGACCCCTTCCCAGGTGTGAAGATTGGACCAGGGGTTTGTGGTGCAAGGCATAGGAAGGTATCTAGGCAAGATCGGATCTGCGGGGCCTGAGCTCCCCGCTGAGCAAAAGATACATGAATTTATACCCACCCGGAGGTGTAATACCCTACTCCTGTGTTGGTTTCGTTGTCTTCCCAAGATAAGGTAAGTACAAGGGAGGCCTTTCCAGGCAACAATGTGAAATGTACTGATCTAAAGAATCCAACCCTTCATCCGTAGCTTGTCCCCTCCCTTTTATAGTCCAAGGAGGGGCTCACATTATTACAAATATACTCTTTGTCTTGTCTTATCAGCCGTCTTGTCGTTGTCGGCTAGTTCTCTAACACAATCTTCAAGAAACCCATTGAGATTTGAAACCTGCATTATATTACCCCGGGTACCTGGGCTTCTGTTCGACACAGCTGGGTTGCGACAACTAGCCCACCACGTGGCAAGTGGTGGGCCTGGAGGAACCCGGGCTGCCTGAAACAGCGCCACGGTTCCTCTTCTGCCCGTTTGGCCAAATTAGGTGGTGTGAGGCATGTTCGACACGCATCAAAGACGCCACCAGTTCTAATGACTCAGCGCTGGTATCTTGTCCACGTCCTTTCAGCTCCAGACTGGCTGGGGCTCCCCATAAACATGTTTCATTTATGGTGGAGAGGTCCACTTCACAACAGTCCATGGAGTGCGCCCATCTCCCCAGCCGGTCCTGATGTTGCGCCCTTGCGCTTTTTGTGATGATAATTCATCTATTCTTAGGCGAGCTTCTCGAAGATGTCGTTGATCAGTAGATAATGTGCTTATTTTGTATGTTTAGACGCTCTTCTTTGCAGATGAACTTGGAAACTATAAGGACTAAGGTGAGCTCGGGGCCCAGGACAAGGCCGGGCCTAAGGCAGACCTGAGTCTACTTCTTAAGATGTAGATCTTGTATGTCTCTACGCTCCTCTTATTGAGTAGCATAGGACTTACAAAGACTAAGGTGAGTTCGGGACCCAGGACAAGACCAGGTCTGAGGCAAACCTTAGGTTACATTCCTCTTCATAGAGCAGTGTGTAACCTAGACGTGCTAAGGTGAACCTGGGACCCGAGACAGGACTGGGTTTGAGGCAAACCTTAGGCTACATTCTTATCCCCGAAGACAAACAAAGGACTCACCAAGGTGGGGCCCCTAGCCCTATCACCCTAGGAGTAGCTTTTTATTTTTAAGAATGATTTAAGCATGTCATTTATTTTACTTCTAACTATTTTGTTAGAGAAATGGGTACCTTGGTTTCCATTTCACTGAAAGTAGCCCCCAGCCTCGGGCTGGGCTAGAGAGATGAACGAGGCCGGGCCTGGGGCTTCTCTCCGAAGGAAAACCGAAGTCAAGGTCTCGGGTCCAACTTGTCAGGGTTCAACGAGCGTGACAACACTCTGTCATGTCGCACGTCTCATCATTCTGTGGGTCAGCTGCGGGAGTTAAGCCACGTTCACACGCCGCCTTAACTTCCCACTACCATCCCGTTTTTCGAGGCGTCGTGGGCGTGGAGACCGAAATGTCTACTCGGGGTTTCTTCTTTTAAAACCTCCCTTTCATCCCCATTCGATCTTTCCACGCCCTAGCGCTCTTACCCTCGATTCAATCTTGCCGCCACCGATCTTCACTAACTCCGGTCATCTTTCCCCGCCACCTTCTTTCTCTCCTTTTGCCTGCACCATGCTGTTGTCCAACCGCAACACACTGTCGGTGCCGGTTGAATAGAAAACTAAGTCCATTTGAAAATCATTAAAATAGTTAGAAATAAGTAGAATGCATTAAATATATGTTTGGAACTTTTAATTTTTTAAAATAATTAAAATAAGGATAATACATGGAAAATTATATTTACAATTATTCGAGACATATAAAATTTATATATAATTAACCATATCTCCGATTAAGTCCATTTAAAACTCATTAAAATCGTTAGAAATCAGAAGAATACATTAAAAATGTGTACCATCGGTTTTTAGTTTAATTTTGATGTTTTAAATTATTATATGATTATTTAATTTTTTTCACTTTCGTGGACTTCCTTTACATTTGTTATCTTCTGATGTAGATGAATCGGCAATGGATGTTGTCATGGTTATGGATACCACATACTTAATAGTAGTTGACTAAACTTGCCAGGGCCCACCGCATACCATGTCTTATACGGAAACAAACCTCGTATATAGAAGGAGTTCCGGATAATGAAGGATAAATAGAGTTCTATATGGAAACGGCAAGGACTACTCGGATTGTATCCATATTTATCTCCCTAGTCTTACTTGGACAAGAGGGCATATATGAGTATAAATACAAGCCCCCCAGGAGGAGAGGGGTCACGCCACAACGCCTCAAAGCCACAAGCCAACACACGTCGCCAGATATCAACATCAGATATAAGTCTAGACATACCCCATCCGACTCCTACGGAGGCTGGCAAGAGGGATCTAGCACCATCTCTGATCTCGCCGAGTACGGATTCGAGGAGGAAGACTACCCTGTTGTCGACTACGGGTTGGTTATCTAGCCGCCTAGTCGACGACGGCTAGATGAGTTATCCCAATTATTGTACTTGTGTGATTCAGATGAATAAAGGAGCAACACCAGCTGCGGCCAACAGGATGTAGGGCTATTACCTGTCAGATAAGGGGCCCAAACCTGTATAAAAATCCCTGTCTCCATCTCTTTTACCTCAATCTGGCATATACCCTGGTACCAACGATCCCCATACCATCTAAATAACGTAGTCGCAATATCAAACGTTAACAGTGGCGTGCTAGGTAGGGGGATTTTGGTGCTTCAAGGTTTTGACGAGATGGGTTCGAGGGATGGATTCTCCGACAACAAAATACTCGATGACTTCGGCTATAGGAAGATCTAACCCGACCGGAGTATGTCCCCCGCAGAGATCAATGACTTGACCAGGAAGCCTCCGTTCGAGTCGACTGCCCGGGAAGTGACATCGTCAATTAATTTTGATTCTGTTGGGACCTGGATTATCCTCACCCCTAACACATAGTGAGAACGTCCATCCCGACAAGTCGTGGCGAGGAGACCGAATACATCATTATTCAAGACCATCACGTACTATTTGCTCCTGACATGTGCACCTACATATGCATGGACTCAATACATGCCTAGGTGTGCATTGATTTGACGACATGTACATGCACAGAAGACAATTCAGATCGGCTACCAAGGCTAATTAAGGTAATTAGTAGATTAATTAAATTGATCTACTAATTCCGTAGATATATTCGGCATGTATCTACAAAGGTACGCAATATTTTATATACAATTTATCGTACCTATTTTCCGATCTATACAATATTGTTAGATAAATAA